GTACCAATCAGGAGTCCTATTTATAGCATTTGCCAATACCACCAGTCAATTTAAACTACCAATACGGTATCACTGAGTAGAGTTGGGAAGAAATTAGTATAATCAGCTCGGAAAAGCTAGTAGGAGCTGGCTCCAGCTACCACTGCCTGGGTCCCACCATTGGAGAAAAAAATTTTTTCCCAACAAAATTGCTGGACCTTTAGATCTATCATACTCGCAAGTTAACCAGAATCTTCTTTGTCTAGGCAAATGGATACACTCAGAGGCTGGAACAGAACATGTTCTAAATAGTCTCACACCAAGTCCTGAACCCACCATCTTTTCCTTTTAAGGCTGCAGAGGCTTGTCCTACCCAGGCTCTGCCCACACTAATGGTGATTTTTTAAAATATTTTATTTATTTATTTATTTTTAGAGAGAGGGAGGAGTGAGGGAGAGAAACACTGAGAAACATCAACTAGTTGCCTCTTATATACACCCAACTGGGAAACAAACCCACAACCCGGACATATGTCCCAACAAGAAATTGAACCATCAACCCTTCACTTTGCAGGATGATGCCCACCTGAGCCACACCAGTCAGGGCACTAACGGTGAGGGATTTTTTAAAGAGTTGCTTAATGCCCTGGCTGGTGAATTGAGCGCGGACCTGCAAACCAAACAACCGAGGTTTGATTCCCAGTCAGGGCACACACCTTTGTTGCAGGCCAGTTCCCAGCAGGGGATGCATGAGAAGCAACCATACATTGATATTTCTCTCCCTCTCTCCTTCCCGTCCCCTCTAAAGATAAATAAATAAAATCTTTAAAATCGCCCCTTGTAATGCTTCCACCAGCCCCGTATAGTGTCTGTCCCCAATTATGGATACAGTTCCAGGGTTTTCCTAAAGTCTTGGGATATACTTAGATGTCAGACTGGATAACTTCCGTTAACTACAGAAGGGTCATGGCCTTTGAACTCCACAGGGAGGAATTACTTGGATCCACACTTTCTCTCCCTGAAGCCAGCAGCAGTCTACCGTAACAAGTTTTCCTGGGAGAGGAGCATGAATCTTTCACCCAAAGCACACTTTGTACCTCTCCCACCACAGCTCCTAGGGGCTGATCATCCTATATACGCAGAACCCCAGGCCCAGGGTGCCTCTTCTGCCTGAACCACTGGGAGGCAGTCCATTAGAGATTTGCTTGTCCCTTTTCTGAGGCCCAACTCTTTCAACCAGATTGAGCTCAACTTCCCTGGCCATGGTATCCTCCTTAGGACTCTCACAGAGCACAGAAATTTCAAAGCATTGATAGCTGAAGCGATGACAGGTTAGTTCCCCAATCTAAGAATTAGGGTTAGGATCCAACAATTACAGGAAGCAATTGACCATCTTTATTTATTTAAAATGAGACATCAACCCCATTGTTCCACTCACCCATGCTTCATTGGTTGCTTCTTCTGTGTGACTGGAGATCAAACACAGAACCTTAGTGTATTAGACCATGCTCTAACCAACTGACCTAAGTGGCCATCTTGGAAGGACCCTCACTTTCTCGTGCTGAGAGCTCACTCTGCATTCAGGATTGGGAATTTATGCCCGAATTTTGTATAAAGCAAAGAGCCCAGCCAGTCTGCAGTCTCATGGAGGGAGCTATTTGGGAAGCCCAGATTGCTAGTTTAGGTACATTTTTTAACTTGGGGTTAGTGTTCATGAGGTTCAGTGATGCTAGGAGCTGTTGCTAGGTCTAACTGAGAAGCTTGGCAACGTAGAGGATGTGGGGCCCATATCCTCCCCTTCCCACCAATTATTGCTGCAAGAAGTTGGGTTTCTTTTGTGCACCAGCTCTTATAGTGTCTTACAGCTTTCAGAGGTTTCCACCTAGGCTGGCAAAGTTGGCGAGATTTCCCAAGTGCAGTGCAGCATAGGGCAGAGCAGAAATGTAATACATGTTCACAGAATGAGTGAAAAGCACAGCGTGTGCACAATGTCTGTATCTTTCTAAGACCAACTGATCTTCTGGAAACCAAATTGAAGATTTAATGCCCGAGGGCCTTCTTGGTGCATTGTATACACATTCTAGTACAATTTTTGCTCACAGCCTTTCCCTATGTAGTAAAATCATTAATTGTTGCAAGATTTAAATTGTTGCAAGATTTAGACAGCAAAATTTCCAAAAATAGGAGATAATAGTCTTCAAAATACAACCAAACTGCAGAGCAGCATCATAGCCCTATAATTCAATTCAGTTGATTCAGTGAACAGTTCAAAAATTTCTCATTTTTGGCTGGATTTTAAAATTAGATATTGGGGGCGGGGCAGGAGGAAGTTCCTTCTGTGTGCAGAATGCTAATAATGTATTCCCAGTATGAAAGTGCCTATAAAAATACTTCTCTAAATATATCCTCCTGCAAAATGCTCCAGTGGAGGTTCTGGACCTCAGGAACATTACTGTTAAGGTGCAAGGAAATGGAAGGACTTTGCCACCTCTACAAGTCACAGTAACTAGAAACATCTGACCTTTTTCTCCGGATTGCTTATTTTTAATTGTTTTCTTTTTCTGTATATTAAAAAAAAAGGCTATTAGTAAAGGCTTAAATTTGCCCATGTTCCATAGGGAAAGTACACTTAAGACATGTGCCACCAATGGGCTATTTTCAGTAACAGGAACATTTATTATGAACCAAATGCTTTCTGGCAGCTTCTAATTAGTCTACTAGTGACAACTTAACTTTTCCTAAGTTTCTTAAGGCTCAAATGAAAGAATTCTTCCTAAGTCACAGCCTAGCAACAAGGATGAGTAAAACTGACTTGATCAATGAACCCAGGAATCCCTGTCTGTAATGCTCTCACGCCAACTTTTTCTTTTAATAATTTTTATTGCCTTCTGATTTCAATCATAGAATATACTCAATACAAAACTTTAAAGTCACACATAGGCACAAAAGGAAAGTAGACCATATATAAATCCCCACTTTGCTGAGTTTTCAGAGATAAGTTGGATAGTACAATGAACAATATATATAGGCTCCACCAATTGCCAAGGTTAATTTGCTTTTTCTCTTCCTGTATTATACCTTTTGCCAAGCCATTTAAGTTGTATTACAAAGTTTCATCCCTAATATTTCCAATTTCAGGATGCTGTCTGACATAACTACAAGATTATCATACCTAAGAAAATAATTCTATTATCACCTAATTTATCCCATTTTCAAATTTCCAATTGTCACAAGATTCTTTTTTTGCGCTTGAGTTCTAGATTGACCTACATCCTGTACTTGTCCCATCATTTGCTCCCAATTTTCACCTGTTCCTCTTACCCCTTTATTTTCTGTCAGCTACAACTTAAGTCTAGATACTGGTTTAGATTCAGGTGTTTTTTTTTTGCCTAGATGCTGTTTTAGTTTTTATTTGATCAGGAAGCATGTTATCAGGTTGTCCCATTAGTGATGCCGGGTTTTATCACTTGACTACTAGTGCCAGACAGACATCAGTCCATTGTCAAGACTGTCTCCTTTCACAAGTTACCTGTACAGCATTGGAGTACTGAGCAAAGGTTCTTTTACTAAAGATTTTGGCATCAATTGATGATCTTTGCCTTATTAGTTATTAAGGATTCAGGCTCTAGCCTTGTGGTACCATGAAGAATTCTTTCATTTGAGCCTTCAGTAATGCAGATTGACCTTTGGGACCACGGACTGACTGTCTTGGTCAACTTCAGTCCTCAGAGTGCTTCCAATTAGGCTGGAAGATAGTCTGCCAGCCTGTACTTGAAGCTGGAGCTGCAGGGGAAACACTTCAGGAGCCCTGCTCCAGGCTCTCCCAGAGAAGATAACTCACAGGCGAAAACCAGAAATACAACCAGATCTAAAGTGTCTCCCCACTCCAGGGGAGAGGATGCAGCTTGGGTTTGGTTAAGTCTAGTTGAGCAGGACCCCGGGAGTCAGACCTGCCTTGCTGATAGAGTTTATTTAAAAACAGGTAGAAAATGAACAGAAACTGCTGAAAAAATATAGAGTTGTTGAAAAAATGAAAATTATGCTCTGCCAAAATAGAAACATACCTCCATAGATCAAACTGACACACACTTCCATATACTTTCAAATGGGAAAAAAAAGAACATATACAGAAATGCCAGAAACACTGCTGTCAACTATATCTAAAAAGGCAGGTCAAGGTTTTAAGTAATTAAGAGGATTTCAAAATGCAAATTTCTGAGTTTTTCAGAATTCAAATTTCGAAACAAAGATTCTCAGTAACCAACCAGTTAACCAAAAATTATTCTGAGAGGTGGTATTTCAGGATATTTCTTTTATCTGTTACTTAGTTCTGTGACTTTGAAGTGTTTTTATGGAGGAAAATGAAGTTCCTAAAACTCTGAAAGCAAAGTGAACCTCACAGGCTCAGAATTGTGAGCAGGGATCCAGACTGCTTGCAGTTGCTATCAGAAGGCTGAAGTCAGTCCATCTTGGAAACTTTAAGTGGTATGCTCCTGAGGGCTGTGTTGTTCAATATATTTTCCCAAAGGTTTTCATTGTATGCTGAATTTAAAATTATACAAAACAAGGAATAAGAGTTAATAAACTGGGTGGCAAGAATTATACAAAGTGAGACAGTAAGTTATCAATTTGAAATTTAGTTGACTGAGGCCAAAAATCCAAAGGCAAACATGGAGAATAGGGAAACAGCTTCCTGAGTTTGTTATCTGAAAACTCAAGGCAGATCTGTGTGAGGAGATATTCTAATGGCCCTCTGGGGTCCAGGCAGAGGTGTGAGTGCTGATCCATCCATAGCTGCTCTGGACACATCTGCAGGCTGGAGTTGGGCCCAAAATGTCTGGTACCCTCAAGAAGAACTCTGATGAAGTGAGGGAACAACTCAAAGAAGAATGCAGAATCAAGGCAAGACTCTCACCCTCTGTAACCTCAAATCCAAGGCTACAAGTTACTGGGGCTGACCAAAGATGTTAAATGCTCTCAACAAAAGGCCAACTGTTTACAACTCAAATTTAGAAAGCAACATCGCCATTAAAAGCTTTATTTGAGAAAGTATGCATCTGTGGCAAACAGTGAAGATCTTTTAACCATCACATCCATTACAAGTTATCTCTTTAAAAGGAAAAAATTTTGCATGCCTGCAGTAAACACAATGGATAAACCCAACAAGGCAGCAGACATGTGAACTGTGCAGGCATGTGTAACAAGTATGCAGAGGCCATTTATTTGGTCCATAGTACAGCATAGTTGTATTTGAGTTTTACAAAACATCAAATATAAATAACCTGAAACTGTAACAATACACAAAAATTGGCTTCTTACACAGACATACCAGGCAGTACAAGCTGATAACTTGAGTAAAGTAACATTGTTTTACATCAATATACATAGTGCCAATTAATATTTAAAAACAAGTTTCAATGCATAGCACTTGATACTTTTTGAATCTGTTTAAGAGTATGAAAATGGTTAGATCTAGGCTAAAAATAATTCTTTTTCTAACCAAAAATAAAGGCATAATATTTATAACCAGGTATCAACTTTACTAAACCACAATATTTTAAACTATTAAATGATATCTAAGGGTATTTACATTGAAAAGGCAACATGCATTCTGTTGTTTCATCTCATGACTGGTTACATAAATGCTTTGTTCAAAGGGTTTTAGAACTATATTCCTACTTTCCAAACAGCATACTGCAATGTGTCTAACAGTTCTAGCAAAATGAATGCTTTTAAACGCGGCAGAATCATCTTCAAGTCACTGGTGTCAACCTTTTACCTTTGGAACAAAGGACATAGCAACCTGGATCTGCCCAGGTGACCTAATGCAATAAGAGGGTTCTGTTAGAGGCATTGCTGTTCAATCTAATGCTATAACATCATCAAGCTCTTTTGTCTGTTCTGTGCGTGACCTCTTTGTACTGATACTCTCTTTCTCATCCAATTTCCTCTTGCGACTTCTCTCTTCTTCACTTATGTCATCAGCATTATTTGAAGGGCCTTCTTCATCTGAATCAACTATGAGCACATCATCTTGCTCTTGTGCTTATTTCCGAGAAAGAAAAATGAAAACATGGTTAAAAGTATGGGAGTTACTAGTGGCTCATCACTATTTCATATAAATGAAAAGCTAATTCTGCTGATATACACCAGACTTAAGAACGACTACCCTTAGGGAACCTTCACTTTATACTTTACATATTCCTGTACTGTTTTAATGTTTTCTGTAACAAGCACCTATTCCTTTTCCAATCAAAACAAAAACTTGTAACAAACATTATGTAACTCGGAGAAATTATTCCAGTTCCTTGTTTCTATTTATTTCTCCAACAGAAAATGGAAGGGTATAATTCCTAATACTGGTAATGGCAGTAATAATTATAAACAACAGCAACAAAACAACAAATATATATATATGTGTACATATATATAGCACTTACAATGTGCCAGGAACTGTTCTGAGCACTTTGCATATAACAACTCATTTAATCATCACAACAACCCTATAAAGAAGATAATATTATTATCTGTTTTCCAGAAAAGAAAACTGAGGCACAAAGAGACTGACTTGCCCAAGGTCACACAACAGTAGAGGGTGAGGTCAGGATACAAACCCAGAGTGGGGACTCTATAGTACATGGTTTTAACCTTACACCACAGTTGGTTTTGTGCCCCCGCCCAGAAAAACAATCAAAAGCAGAGGATTGATCTTAGTGCTACAGCCTCCAAAAACCTACCCACAGAAGATCAATAAATGCACATTTCAAGTTATGATTTTTAAAAAACTACCATAGTCCTTCCTTCAATGGGTGATGGATTTTCAGAGGGGAAAAAAGGTCATGAACCCATGGTCCACAAGTGGACCAAACTCTCTAGATATTCTCAAAGTCCATCTTTAAAACTCTAGAGAACATCAGAACTGAGAAACACATTCCAAAGAACACCAAAGACCCAGGATCAAAGAAATGGAAACAAGTAAAAAAATTGGTAACTTTTACTTTCCCAACTTACAGAATGAAGAGGGTGTGTGTGTGTTACTAAATAGCCAAATCCAGCACAATAAGGCACCAAGCATCAGCACTGAAAACCCAAGGAAAAAGAGCCTCTGATGCATTTCCCCAAAGTCATACTGGTTCTGAGAAAACTGTGAAATGCTACAATTCTACACTCACTAAACATCTGCACACTCAAAACAGATGCATTGATCTGTCACCCCTAAGTAACACAGGGATACAAAATCCAACATTACTACCACCACCACCACCACTACTACTACTATTACTAAGAATGAATGGTCTTTATTTAATAGTAAACTCAGATATTTCCAGTTGTAAAAATCCACTAACAAAAAAACAAAGTGTTTCCAGCCTTAAATGGTTTCATGGGTCATACATTCAAAACTCCATTAAAACAATCAATGCCAAACCAATACATACCTCTAGTGGTCCTATGGATTTCTACTTTATGATCAACATTCATGTAATAATCATAGTTTGTTGTTAGATAGTCTTGCTTGTTAGGTAATTAATAACCTGCTGGCTGGGGCCATGACTCACCTGTGGACGTGGAGGGCTGAGCTCCATCATCACTGCCATTAGTTATGCTTTTGGCAGCACCTTCAGCTTGTTTGGGCCCCACTTTTTCTGGGGCATCACCAACAACTTCAAATTCAACATCCTTCCCCAGGTCTTCACTATAAGAGAACACACATGATAAAACTGGACCAGTGCTATGAATATTTACAAAGCAAAGACACACCAGAGAGATACTGTTCCCTCAACTTCGAGTGTATGATATGTACACACCCAGCATTTGGATTCTGATTTTTCAAAGAGCTAAAATAAAAACAAAACTATACAAAACGTATTTTTGTGATAATTCAAAATCTAACTCCAATGGTAATACCACTATACCTCCAAATCAGAGATTTTTCAATTTATATAAAAAAAAATAGTATTAGAAAGAGACACACAGAAAGAAACATGGATTTGTTGTTCCACGTATTTATGCATTTATTGGTTGCTTCTTTATGTGCCCAGACTAGAGATTGAGCCTACAACCTTGATATATTGGGATGACACTCTAACCAACTGAGCTATCTGGCCAGGGTCAAGGAAAGGGTTTAAAAAAAAAAGTTATAAGAATTTTTTTCTGCCAAAGCAGAACATTGAGTCTAAAACTCTATGGCCTAATGTAACTTGGGCATTATTTCTGTAGCTACTTTGTGAAAAGATTCTAGACACTCTACTCTGATCTTGACAAAAACAATTTGGTATTTTAGGACTAGGATATATGGATTCTGGGTTTCCACCTATTTTTACAGGCAGTACCCTGCTTTTGTGTTTCCAAAAACATGTATGAAAGTGTAATGCATGAAAGTCAAACAAAAGACTTGCATGTTATAAAGGGGGTTATGTTCCAGAGAGCTAAAATGTATGATTAAAAATACCATACTTGTGCCTCTTTTAGACACCATCTGATATATTTCCATTTTACTGTGTATGTCCTTTCATGGTCTTTTCTTTCACAATTGAACTCAAGCACACCACTGACATCCAACTGGTGTCTAACCGAGGCCAGAGATCGTTCCTAGCATTATCTTGGACTCAAATGTCTGACTTTGTAAAACTTATTTCTAACAACTCACATTCAGTTTTTCCTGTTATTTTATGCTTTTTATAAACCAAATATAGAAAATACCATGTTCTCCAAACCAGGCAAACTGTATGTTTGTATGAAGATAGAGATGCCAGCAAAACAACTGGACACAGCTGTTGGTTAGATGGTACCCAAAAGTCCTAAGTCAGGATGCAGTTTAGGAGTACTGATGAGCATGCACAAAAATTGCATCTTGTTCAACAGATAAAATGACCAAAGTTGAGGACCATCTATACTTTAACTGTGCCATATATATGCAAATATTCTATAATGCAATTATTTTGAATGGCTTTAAAGAATGTAAAATCAAATTTAAAAAATCTATAACCCAGGAATCTATACAGAATAATTTTTAATATTCTCTTGCTCTTTTGACAGATCACAAATGAAGTATGTCTCCCTTTCTTCTAGTAAATCTTTAAAAATAGAAATTATTCTTTTTCAATTATTAAAATGAACTCACCTCTGATTATAACTATTTGAATGCCTCGACTTCTCCCCTTTTTCTGATCAGCCACCTTTGACAAGTTATCCTTAATCATTTCTTGTCTATCCCTTTTATTTCCGAATACCCAAGTTTTTCTGTAGGTCAAACCTCAAGGAATTTTGTGGCCAACTCGAGCAAATATACTGTGCTCAAATGAATAGTAGGGTTTAAAGGTATTTTTAATCCATCTATACTTTACCTTAAGTGTATATATGCAAACAATTTCTTATAGTTAAAATATTAATAATTCCTACCTATGAAGGATGTTGATCAATAAAGTGTAGTCCTGAAGGAAGTCGTCTGCTTGAAGCCGGCTCCCATTTCTAATCCCAAATTCTGACAACTTCTTGTAATTATTAGCTACAAAATTTTAAAGACATTTAGATACTTTAGTTATATCTCTATGGAGCAGTCATGTTAGTTTTAAAAAGTTGAACCCCCTACTCTAGGCTAAATTGTGTCCCTCCAATTTATATGTTGAAGCCCTAACCCCAACCTCAGAACATGAATGTATTTGGTTAGCACTTTTTAAAGTGATTAGAAGTAGGCTGTTAGGGTGGGCCCTGATCCAGTCTAACTGGTATCCTCTTGAGAAGCCAAGGAGAGAAACCTCAGGAGAAAACAAACCTGTAGGCAGGCACTTTAAGACCTCTAGCCCCAGAAGTATGAGAAAGTAAATTTCTGTTATTTAATTCAACCTATCTGCATATTTTGGTATGGCAGCCCCAGCAAACTAATCCACTAAAATATTAGGCATTCAGAAATTCATCCTTGAACAATCAACTGCTAAAACTACTTCAAAGGTGCCAAACTAAGAAATGAGAACCCTCTCCCATTCAAACCGAATTAATCTGGAATCCCGAGGAATCAAAGACAACCAACCACACACACACACACACACACACACACACACACACACACACACACACGCGCGCGCGCGCACATTTTTGAAAGAGCAAGAGAAAGAAACACCAGTTTGTTGTTCATCTTATTTATGCATTCGTTGGTTGCTTTTTTTATGCACCCTGACCAGAGATTAAAACCAAAACCTGGATGTTATTAGGAAGATGCTCTAACCAACTGAGCTACCCAGACCAGGGCCCAAAAGATATTCTGTGATGCAAACAGGTTTTCCATGACAGAACTTTTTAGCAAACTTTACAATTCAGAAATAGGAGAAACTTTTAAATAAAAATTTCATTTTCAACATCTCTCAATGAAGAGCTAGTAGTGGCCACCCCAAAATAAGTATTCCGACCTATTCCTATCTTCCACATGTCATTTCTACTTCATCTGAATACCCCCAGTATACAGAATGTGCTTAGCACCCAGTTAGCACTCAATAAAATTTTCCTGCATAAATTGTAAATACTCCGAGGAAGAATAATCCCCCCAACCAAACTCTTAGTGTCACCTGTTCTAGAGCCTTTCTGCCTTAATTATGCTTCCTCTCCTACAAGTTAAAATGCTTCACTCTCCTGGCCCTGGCTGGTGTAGCTCAGTGGATTGAGCGCAGGCCTCCAAACCAGAGGATCACGGTTCAATTCCCAGTCAGGGCATATGCCTGGGTTGCAAGCCAGTTCCCTGCAGGCCAGTTCCCAGCAGGGGACACATGAGAGGCAACCATACATTGATGTTTCTCTAAAGATAAATATTAAGTTTATCTCTTTAAATTCCCCTCTAAAGATAAATAAATAAATATTTTTTAAAAAATGCTTCACTCTCCTGACCTGTAAATGCACTCAAGCCTCATCTACAAAACTGCTTCCTCTAGTAGGGGTGTCCAGCCTTTTGGCATCTCTGGGCCACACTGGAAGAATAATTGTTTTGGGCCACACATTAAATACACTGCAACATGTAAACATTAAAAAAAAAATCTCATAATGTTTTAAATAAATTTATGATTTTGTGTTGGGCCACATTCACAGCCATTATGAGATGTGGCCTGCGGGCTGTAGGCTGGACATCCCTGCTAGAGGGAATTAGTAAATAATACTGTAATAACTACATGTAGTGAGGGGTGGGTACTAGACTTACAGGGTGACTGATCACTTTGTAAACTGTATAATTCTCTAACCACTATGCTGTACAACTGAAACTAATATGATATTGAATGTAAAGCTGTAATGCAAACAAACAAACAAACAAACAAACAAACAAAAAGACCCCTCACCTAAGGACATTTTTTCATTGCTTTTAGAGAAAGGAAGAGAAAAACATAAATTGGTTGCCTCCTGTATGTGCCCCAAAGAAGGATCAGAACAGCAACCTAAGTATGTGCCCTCACCCAGAATTCAACCTGTGACCTTTCCAAGTCTGGGATGATGCTTCAACCAACTGAGCCATACTAGCAGAGCAAAAAAATTTTTAATAAAAAAATAATAAAGTCTTCAGAAAAGGAAAACAAAACCCTGCGCCTCCATCTTGCTCCCTATATACACTCTCCTTGAAACTCTCAGTCTACTTTACTGCATATTTGTTCTGTAGGGGTGCAGACTATACAGAACTGTATCTACAGTTCCTGACGTGCACTGAGTAAACTATATCTTAATCCTAGTTATCATATTTAAATTTATGTCATTTCTTTTTTATTATTTCTTTCATTGCTTACAAGTAAAATGCTTAGAAAGTATCTAACTCTGAAAAACTGACAGTTTCTAGTTCTTTTATAAATTTATTTTAACTCTTTATTCTATCTGAAATATCTTCAGAAAACAGTAATTCTTACCCATACTTCCAATCCCAAGGCTTTTCACACATTCCCCACTCACTACAAATTCCTCAGACCCAAACATATTCAAAACAGTTACTGTGCATGCCATCCTGTTTAATGAACATCATCTGTAAAGCCGGAGTCCGGGCAACAATCCTGTACAGGCCCAACAATGCTACTCTTCTTCACCTGAATTCACCAGAACTGCCCTAAATTCTGACCTTGCAAATATCAAGGTTTATCATCTGTTTCTACCTTAGTTAAAAATCCCTCACTCCCCTCATTTCTTTTCCTCCCTAACTGGCTCCTGCCTCCACTCTCACACCCTTAACTCGCCTTCCACAGATTACACTAGTTGGTAAACACATTCACTGCTCCACTTAAACCTGGTGGAAGTAAGACACTGGGGGAAGAAGATAAGCACATTACGTGCAGCCACAGTAAGTCTCCAGTGCACCTCTGGTGAGCCAGCACTGCCACCCAGAGCACACCACCTTGTAGTGATACAAAATAACTGGTCATTCCCAAAGGCTTTTATGTTGTTTTTAAGTCATGCCTTTGTAGAAGTTACTCATTCTGCCCAAATGCACACACTCCCTTCTCTGCCCAGAGGGTTCTTACTTCAAGAACTGGCCCAAGAATTCTTTTTCCTGTGATCTCCCCTTTAACCTTCCCCAGTTTCAATTCATACATTTTTTCCCTTAGTATTTCTTAAACTGCAATAAATCTACTAGCTGATAATCTCTCCTCTCCTCCAGGCTATAAATTAATTCAAACCAGACTACTGTTGTTTTCATCCTTGAATTATAAATATGTATGACTCTGCCTATAGCACAGGACTCCATGTGTGATTTAAATAAATGCCATCTCACCCTCAGCACCTGTATTTGGTGGAGAACAGCCACATTTAAGCCACTTAGATTCCTGGTCAGTTTCTATTTTTAAGGTCCCAGCATAAAAAGAACTGGCTAGAACTAAGAGGACAGTCATGAACAAAGTTTGTTTTTTTTGTTTGTTTGTTTGCTTTTTTTGTAAAGACAGCTGGCTAGGATAGGGCCCAAAAATTCAACTAGACTCTTAAAATAGATTACTACCCAGCCAAAACATGGCCTCCAATTACTCATGACCTAACAGCCCAAACAGTTTGACAAGGAACTACAGCCAAGACAACACTTAACCAGTAAAGACATAGGTAAATAAGTCAATATAGAAAAAAAAAAAAGCCCCAGGTTTTAAAAGTAATAATATACTGGCAAGATATGTCATATGAAGAAATCAACTAAAATGGTAACCCAAGAGATTCTAAGATGCCAAAGTGACAGAAGAGCTGGGAGAGAACTTGTGCGTCCAATCGAACTGACTAGTGAAGGATGAAGGAGGCACAACCAGAACCAATCTTCAACTACGAAAGCTTAAACACAATTGAATGCACTGAACCTTATATGACAAATGCAATGACAAAAGAGATGGCTTTCTTGAGAACTTCAAAAAAAGTCTAAAATGCCCAAACTAGGCACTAATTTTCAGCACTATCTTTTACTCTATAGTGGGACTGGCTATTAAGGCTTCCCCACTCCTGTACCAAACACTTAATAGCCTTTGATTAGGTACTTTGATCTAACAGCCAGAATAATCTGCTCATTACCAAATTACCTCTCAGGATCCATGATACACACAAGGCAGTTCCTTTGAAGTGGACAAGAACACTGAGGTCACTAAAAAATGGTGGCTATGCACTTGTATCTCAGAAAAAGTTACTGAGATACTCTGACAACACAGAGTTCCCAAAACCAGAACTGCTATGATCCCACCAAGGCAATGCTGTCTTGAAAAGGGCACCTTCTTGACCACATGTTGCACCTTTCAGCTGTGATACTGAGTAACATATATAGCAAATGGTTAAACTAATGTGCACCCTTCCTTTAGGCATCTCAACCAAAATGAAGGAAGTGAATAAATGCAATGCATCACACCTTCTGTCTCTCCCTCTTCTGAAGATATCAGGATTGTTCCTTTCCCATCTTCAATTTGGACATCTGGTGCTACCATAGCAAATTTTTCTTTCACAATCTACAGAAAAGAAGATTCAAAATATTAATATGTGTAATTAAAGACCCTAAAAATAGACACTTTTTTCCTTAAAAGGTCTTACTTTCCCCTTCTACCAGAGAGGGGCAAAGTTGCTCATAAGATACCTGATGACAAGTAGGAAAGCAGTGGGAATGCACACAATGATCTCACACTCATGTTCCACCCTCATATTTGACCACTGATAAGATCAGAAACAACTTCCTCCATATGGGGGACTGAGAATTCCTTGACTGGCTCTTGGTACTTTGTTCTTCCCTGCAGATCAGGTACTGAACTAGATATATTACATAGTTCCTTACTCTATGACAATCCTGTATTGGCAGATGTTTTACAAACAGAAATGTTCTCATTAACCTGATTCTCAGATGGTCTTGCCCTTCCATTTCACTTTAAATTTGAAGATGAATCAAAATTGGTAATATTCTGTCAAATCTACCTGCTCCTAAAAAAAAAAAAAAAAAAAAGAAAATGGGGGAATTCTCTGAAGGTCCCTTTATTCTACAAATAGTGGAATGGCCTGTAAGCTCAAGAATGAGTAGATGCCAACTACAATTATTTCCTAAGAAAGAAGGTAGGAGAACGACCCTCTGCCAACCAGCATTCTAAGTCCTGCTATTTCGCCATCCAAAACATAAGATCTAATTAACCTGCTCTTATGTCCATTTCTGGGGGAAAGGCCATTCCCTCTTAGGAAACCTTTAGGACGACCATCAAGGTCTAGGAGGTATGTAAATATATAACATGATGATGGATATAATCAGAGAACCATCTGAAGTGATCCCAAAAGTGGGATGTGATACCCACCAGGACATTTTTGACATCTTCCCTAATAAAGGAACTAAACTAGCCAGTTTAGGAGGAACCTGAAAACCAGGCCACAGAACAGGACCACATCATAACCCCCAGCAACACTATAGAGCAATATAGGTGAATGCAGGTCTATAAATGCTGATCTTCTCAGGGATTAGTTTAACACACCAGAATCAGGACCGTCACCAAACTGTTTAAGGATACGCCCTGTCTGCCAAAAATACAGAATTTATACACCAACTGGGAAACAGAGCATGCAGAGAGTCTCTTGCCTGCCAAGATACTGTACCACTTCTGTAGTACTTGTGGTACATTTTCTACATATACAGCTCATTCCTTTCTGGGATGTGAAACACATATTCTGGAACCACAGAGAAAGAAAGCCAGCAGGATCCCATATGGTCAAGTGACCAAGGCTATCAGAGCATCACACTTCAGTAGCCAGAGGCTTTCAAAGAGTAATTATGTGGCTTTTAGTTTGTTATTGCAGCAACACAGTAAAAGGCAAAAGAAAACTTGAGGAGTTTTGTTGTTGTTGTTTTGTTTTTAAGAAAAAGGAAAAAGAACAAACTTGGGTGAGAGAACTAGCCTCTGCACTCACCTTATCTTGTAATGTGAGAACAGTTACTTTATGGACATTCAGTCGCACAGTCACCTCTGGCTTGCTGGCACATACGTAACAATTGGGGTTGGGAGGATCCAGTGCACAAGGCACAAGGAGCTTCTTTCTTGGGTTTGGTTGTTTATTCAAAAAAATCTTTGGAGGAAGAAAAAACATAAGCAGAAATCAAATTCAAGTCAATTTTATACATCATACAATTTGAAGTTGGGTAAGGAAAATCATGACCATAAGAGCCCGATTTTCCAAACTACTTTTCAAATTACCAGCTATGTGAAAGGCTGAGCTTACTGAAAAGAAATCTCCCTGTACTGAAGACACTAGGCTATCTTGCAAAGTAACTCAGCAACACTAAGGACTTAGCCATACTCATCTCTGGTGTCTTTAAATCAGCTTTTAGGTGCCTTCCTGGTAGTTAGTTATTCTTATCAATTTAAAGCCAACTTATCAACAAGACCAATACATTAATACCTCCAACTAATGATAATGTTTTCATAAATGTATGGAACCAATGTGCTTGGCCTTTCTTTTCAAATCTGCAACTACAACATTAACATTTACATAATTATGAGAAAAATAATGTACCTCTGGCACTTTATGCAGGCACCTATTTACCATCTCCCTAATACCCGAACATAAAATATTAAGAACCAAGGAAAAATTTAAAACTACACTTTAATTTAAAAAAGGCCCAGACTTCCAGCCAAGATGAAGGCATAGGTAGACACACTGTGCCTCCTCGCACAACCAAAAGAAGGACAACAATTTAAAAACTAAACCAACCAGAACCAACAGAAAACTGAACTGTAAGAAAGTCCGACAACCAAGGAGGTAAAGAAGACACACTCGTCCAGATCGGCAGGTGGGGCAGAAACGGGCAGCCAGGCAGAGAGGACTAGTGGCAAGGCAGTGGCCAGCGGACCCAGCGAGGAGGCGGCTAGTAGAGAGGGTGGTCCCACATTTCTGTGCAGATAACCGGAAGAAACAACTGGGGAGCTGGACAGTCTGCTCAACCCAGGGCCCCGGCAGGAGGGAAAAGTAAAGCCTCAAACCACTGACTGAAAACACCTGTGGGTGTTGAGGAGGCAGCGGGAGAAACTCCCAGCCTCACAGGTAAGTTCGTTGGAGAGACCCACAGGGTCCTAGAGTGCACACAAGCCCACTTACCAGTAATCAGCACCAGAAGGGCCCAGTTCGCTGGTGAGGAGCAGGGGAAGTGACTGAAATCCGGCAGAGAGCAGAGCAAGCACCACTGTTCCCTCACAGACCCCTTCCCGACATGCAGCATTACAACCCAGAGATGTGGGTTACCACGCTCTGGTGAAGACCTATGGCTCTGCCCCTCACTAAGTAACAGGCGTGTCAAGACACCATAAAAGGCCCAAATGAAAGAAGAGATCAAAGCTCCAGGAAAAAATACAACTAAGCGATGAAAAGGTAGCCGACCTATCAGATACATAGTTCAAAACATTGGTAATCAATATGCTCACAGAATTGGTTGAATTTGGTGGCAAATTAGATGGAAAAATGAAGGCTATACTAAGTGAAATGAAGGAATATGTATGGGGAACCAATACTGATGGAAAGAAAACTGGGACTCAAATCAATGGAGTGGACCAGAAGGAAGAAAAAAATATCCAACCAGAAGAGAATGAAGAAACAAAAATTCAAAAAAATGAGGAGAGGCTTAGGAACCTCCAGGACATCTTTAAACGTTCCAATATCCAGATTATAGGGGTACCAGAAGGGGAAGAGGAAGAACAAGTGGAAAACTTATTTGAACAAATAATAAAGGAGAACTTTCCCAATCTGGCAAAGGCAATAGACTTCCAGGAAATCCAGGAAAGCTCAGAGAGTCCCAAAGAAGTTGGACCCAAGGAGGAACACACCAAGGCACATCATAATTACATTATCCATGATAAAAATGAAGGAGAGAATCCTAGAAGCAGCAAGAGAAAAGGAGAGTTACCTACAAAGGAGTGCCCATCAGACTGTCAGCAGATTTCTCAAAAGAGATCTTACAGGCAAGAAGGGGCTGAGAAGAAGTATTCCAAGTCATGAAAACCAAAGACCTACAACCAAGATTGAGGTACCCAGCAAAGCTTTCATTTAGAATGAAAGGGCAGATAAAGTGATTCTCAGATAAGGTCTAGTTAAAGGAGTTCATCATCACCAAGCCCTATTATATGAAATATTAAAGGAATTTATCTAAGAAAAGGAGATGAACAGAAAATATGAACAGTAAAATAATAGCAAACTCACAATTATTAACCACCACACCATAAAACAAAAACAACAACAAAACAAAGCAAACAACTAGAACAGGAGAACCACAGACCTCCATAGAGATCACATGTAAGATTATGAACAGGGAAGGGGGACAGAGGGGAAAAAGGTACAGAGAATAAGTAGCAAAGATGGTAGGTAGAAAATAGACAGGGGGAGGTTAAGAACAGTATAGGAAATGTAGAAGCCAAAGAACTTATATGTGCAACCCATGGACATGAACTAAAGGGGGGGAATGTGGGTGAGAGGGGATATGTAGGGTGGAGGGGTGTGAAAATGGGACAACTATAGTAGCATAATCAATAAAATATATTAAAATAAATAAAAATTTTAAAAGGGCCCTAACCTCATACTACTATAAAGTTTTGAAACACTAGCCAGATTAATACAAATGTCAAGTCGATACTAAAAGCTGATACACAAATTGTCATTTGTGACTAACATGTAGTATGGTATTTGCTAAGATTAATTAGTTCTAAAGATAAAAACTACACAGATTCCCCCAAGCTTAAAGAAGTAAATTCCTTGGGAGGCAGTTAAGTGGTAGGAAGAGACCTCCTGTATGAACAGTATTACCAGTACTACCCATTGTACAGGCGGGTCTGGAAGCAGCATATAATGGGGAATAGATTTGTTTGATCTTGGACATCACTGGAAAGGTAATTGTGCCTTAGCAAACTAAAAGTAATAAAAACAATCACTAACACTGCTAATACCCAAGTTAACACTATCAACCCTTCCTGAAATTCATTATAAACAAATAAAAGCCAGAGATAATATCATTAACCTGAGAGGAACAGAGCTGAGACGGCGAAAAACCAAGAAGGATATTGTAAGAAATAGCGGACATTTTAATAAATTTAACAATTAGAAATGTTTGTGAGCTCAAAGGCATAAGGTGGGCACAGGATAAATTAAGGCTGCTATAAAAAGGTAGAAATCAAAAAATGAAGTTCTTAGAAATTAAAGATACATTAGCAAAAAAAAATTTTTTTTAAATATTTTATTTATCTTTAGAGAGGAAGGAAAGGAGAGAAGGAGAGAAATATCAATGTATGGTTGCCCCCTTGTGAGTCCCCTGCTGGGAACTGGCCTGCAACCCATGCATGTGCCTGACTGGGAATCGAACCGCGATCATGTGGTTCGCAGGCCCGCACTCAACCACTGAGCTACACCAGCCAGGACATTAGCAAAAAATTAATGAAAGATGGCAGACTGAAAAATGGCAATATGATTCTATACTCCTTCACCCTGAAATTTTATGAAAACAATAAGGTATTTTAAGACTGCATCAATAATGGCACTGAAAAACAAGAGTACTGCTGCAGACTAGGTTTCTTTGAAAAAAAATAATAAATTCCTGAAAGTAAATTGGTCCTTTTATTTCAACATTATAGTAAAAAGGGGAACGTAAATAGCAAAAATATTGGCTACAACATACATACATCTTTTTAATCCTCACCTGAAGATATGTTTATTGATTTTAGAGGGAGAGAGGAAGGGACAGACAGGGGTCAGTGAGGGAGAGGGAAATAGACAGACATGGATGTGAGAAACACCAACTGGTTGCCTCCCCCACACACCCAACCAAGGATGAAACCTGCAACCCAGGTATGTGCCCTAATTGGAAATCAAACCCGTGACCTTCTGGTGCAGAGGACAATGGTCCAAACAACTGAGCCACCTGGTCAAGGCACCTAACAACATTTTTAAGGAGTTTTTTAAATTCCTATGCTGGTAAGGGAGGAAAAGCATCTTCAGACACACAAACTCAACACAGAATGAAAGCAGGAATTCAAAGAGAATATCCAAGTGGCTTTAATCTTGAGGTACACCTAAGGAGACAATTAAATAAAACAAGAACCTGCAAGGGGAGAAGAGAAAGTAATAGCAAAATATCTTCCCCACAGAAATAACAAGAAAAATTACCTTGACCTTGGTGCTTCAAGGAGTGGGGGAACTTCCTTATAATTAATTACAATAATATAGGGCCCATGCAGATTTGCTGGCTGAATATGTATGTGGATTGAAAAGCTAAAGAATTGTAAAATGGTCCCAGATTGGCAGGACCCCAGGCACTCAGATATAAGTAAACATAAATCCTCTTTGAAGAAATACACCTTCAATGGGTCCTTAAAGAATTATCAAAGATACAATTTTAACAAATACTAAGTCAGTTAAAAAATCATGCACTATACAAGCAAACAATATACTGAGATGTGGCAGACATAACCGTAGATTCATTCATAAGACTGCCGACATTAACATTATCAAAGAATATAAAACAAATTTAAAGTAAAATAACTTAAAAGCAGGAATGTCCACAGGGATGTAAAGTACAGCATAGGGAATATAGTCAATAATATTGTAATAACTATGTATGGTGTCTGGTAGGTACTGGAAATACTGGAGAGAACACTATGTAAAGATTACGACTATCTAATCACTATGCTGTACACCTGAAACTAAGGAAAAAAAAAAAAACAGTACTAAATGTAAACTGTAATTGAAAAAAAAGGAGGGCACTACAAACCAAACAAAATTTAAAAACCAGAGACCTCAGCACTCACAAGGTAATTGGAACAATTATTTTTCCACTGCTTTAAACCAGTTTTATTGATTTAATTTTTTAATTGTCAGTTTAATGTGTTTCTTTATAAATTACTTTTTTCCTCTGCAAATATTACTTTACAAAGAGGTTGAATTAAAAATAACACAAATAGAAATACTCACTGTTCTACACTGGTCTATTTTTCCTGATAAAATCTTCAATCCTTCCAATACTATTAACCCAGCAATCACTGCATTAGTAGTAGCGATAGCAGGAATAATGTTCCCTGCCATTGCTAAAAAAATTAAAAATTAAAAAAAAGATAAATATGTTTAACTGCTAAAAAAGAAGAATAATTTAGCATTTTAGAAGATACAAGTGAAGTACAAAGCAACTTACATTTTATATCAAATCTGCTCTTCATATTCATACTGAAAATATGCATCCTGAGGTTTGCAGCAGAGGTGACAAAATCCATTGCAGATGGGTCATCCTGCCAATAAGTTAAATAACTTAAAGTCTCCCCACAAACTTACTAATTACCTAGTTATACTTTCAGAACAATACTTTCACATGTTTGTTAACATTGCAGTCAGTGAACCAGAACAAGAGATGACCTTCAGGGAGAGGTAAAACCTCACAGTAGTGGGGAGACTGGATGAGTAGAGGGCAAAGGTCTCATCATCAGCTGACCGGGGAAGTAATCTGACAAGAATGCCATGAGCCACCAGGTTTATAGGAACTCATCCTGCTTAAACAAATGGACTGTAAACTAAGTGTACAGATCCAAACACCAGTTCCATTCATTGACAATGGCAATCCTTTCCTGGGTCCATCATTCAGTATAGGCATATCTCACAGATACTGCCAGTTCAGTTCCAGACCACCGTAATAAAGCAAGTATCATAATAAAGCAAGTCATAATCCTTTTGCTGGTTGAGGGTCCTGCCTTCAGTTTGTTAAAAAACACAACACCCATGAAATGCAACAAAGCAAAATACAATAAAATGAGGTATGCTTGTAATGATAAGAGTGTTTGACAAGCACAGATTTCAGGCAAAGAAAAAGAGGCTTTTTTGAGAAAGCTGTTTATTAAAGCCTCAGAAATACTTGGACAACTCCTTTTAGCTTTCCTTCTCCTAATTCCCTTCATATATACACCACTCTCCTACATTTGCTATTTCTTTTCAGATATGGCAATACCTGAACTGCATGGCAAAGTTTCCCCCTCACAATCTATATTCTTTCTGTGACTATATCCTAGTCTCTTTAATTAGATTTTGGCAAGGTTTCCTGCTTTCCTGAGAAGATAGTATCCTACCCTACAATTCAGAAGCACCAAAGTAAGAAGAAAAAGTACTGACAGGATGTGGATTCTCTATATAATTTACTGGCTGGCTGTGTAACTTCAAGCAAATCAACCTCCTTGACCCAAAATTCCTTAATATGTTAAATAGGGAAATTATATAAACATCTCATAAGGTTGTAGTTAGAATTAAGTTGAAATATTTAACAGTACCCAATGCAGTGTCCATAAATTACTTCCCTAGGCAATTGGCTGGCTAATCATGTTCACATTAGGTGTAGATTTTATTCTGAGGGTAACAATTCCTATTCCAAGTTATCTAGTCCCTGTGTACCAATGAAAACTTCCCAAATCCCTATTAAAATAACAATGAAAATATTTTTAAAAATACTTACTCCTTATAATACATATACCCAAGAGACTAATATTTATAAGAATCCCTAACACCTAAATTTACTAGTTTCACTTTTAGATGTCTGATTCAACCATAATTTCAAAATTTGCACAAAGTTATCTATCATCTTGGTTTGCTAAAACTGACTAAACTTTTTCTCTCACTTTAAAACTCATAGCAAATCTTTACCATCAGAGAAACACATAAACTTTGTATAGATTATCACTTGTAGCCATAGAAAATATTGCCTATAATTAAAAATAAGTAAAACTAATTAAACCTCAAAATAATCACATCTAATTGCAAAATACTATTATATATTAACTCGTAAGGATAATTATGTCTCGTTTTTGTTCTGAGAGGTGCCACAACTCCAAAATATTTATAATGCTCACATCTCCAAAAGGATTTTGACTTTTAGTTACAAATGTCTACCACACAGGAAGTTTTCTTAAGTCTATAAAGTATTTTATTCCAAAACATGCACAATATTTCTCTAGCCAACATAATTATAAACCACAAAGTTTTATGATATTACCTGAATTAATGTACAGAAAACTCATAGTTCAATGTAGTAACTAAAGATAAAAACATCCAAACAAAAGCAATACTATATCCTTAAAATCTGGCAGAATAAACAATATTCAAATATTTACTAGATTCTGATTACAACTGAACTAAAATACACAATTTGACATGTGAGTAATTGCCACACTACTTCAAAACGAACCTTGTCCCATATGAGCTCAGCTCCATCCCCTTTTTCTGCTAAATGAACTCTCAAAGTCTCAATGCTCTTTGAAAAAAGACGGGCATAACTCTTTACATCCAGAACCTGCTGGTCTTTCAGACCTAACTGGGGTTCATTTTGTTGATCTGCTGCTGCATTGATTTCTTCCCCTAAGAGGAAACAAATTAGAAATTTCACTATTAAACATCATTCCTCTACTATTTTAACAATTCAATGCCTGACCAGTAAGAAAATAATATAGAAGAAATTCTGCTTAGTAATTATCACTATGAAACATATATTTGTACAAGATACATATATTAGCTAATACTGAGATAAGAAAGGTACAAGACTGTTTCAGAACCTCACAATGTTATTGGAGGATTCAAGAATATAATTAATACAGGTAAGATGGTAAACATTATATCTATAGTAAATACTCGATAAGTGGACACTATTAGACTCATTCTTAAATTGGTCTGTAAATTCAAGTATTCATTACTACAGAAAACTGCTCTCAATTGACATCCCCTAATCTCCTGGGACCCTTTAAGTTCCAATGTGCTGACCACTGCTATGCATACCCCAATTACAATACAATTCAGATACGGCAGAGATAATGTGTTGAGGGGGGAGTAAGATAAGGGAGTTGTCACTACTGCAATAGTTTTACTCACATTTAAAAGTGTTAAATATGTTCCTAATTTAAATCTTAAAGAGATAATCACACGAAGGTACAGAGATCTATGTACACATGTCCTCATTGCTATACTGTCTTAGGGAAAATATGAAACCACAAAATATTAACTGTAAGGGACTAAATATTATTTACTAAAAGAATAGGTCAGAGCATGTGAACTTACATGATTCCATAATCTAAAGTGCATACACAACTGCTGTGTCTATGTACATAGATCTGACGACCAGACATTCCCTAAAACATTATTAGCAGTTACTATTTCTCTAGGTGGTAAGATTTCCAGTGATTTTCCCTTCTTCGTACTTTTCTGAACTGTTTAAACTTCTTACCATAAACTTATATACCACTGTCAAGAAATAACAGGGAAAGACAGAGGGAATATCCCAATGTATCCCCAAGACTAAAAATGTACCCTTTACCTTGACTCTGTACTTCAGCCCAGTCCAATGGAACTGGAGGTTTCCTTTTTCGCCATAATTTGTCCATTGTCAACAAATACCTGATATCATCTTTAAAAAGCTTAAAAAAAAAAAAAAAGCAATTCTATGAACCCGACAGTCCTTCTGCTGATAAAATACAACAAAGTTTCACTGCTGATTTATTATAAATGTACTATATATCTTCTGGTTTAAGACATGCCATATAGCAGTAGATTAACAATAAAAAATTTTTTTATTGATTTAACAGAGAGAGAGAAAAAACATTGATTTGTCATTCCACTTAATGTATTCACTGGATGACTCTTTTTTAAAGTGTATTTTACTGATTGTGCTGTTACAATTGTCCCAATTTTTCCCCCTTTACCCCCCACCCTCCAGCATTCCCCCCAAACTTAGTTCATGTCCATGGGTAGTACATAAAAGTTCTTCGGCTTCTTTGTTTCCTATACTATTCTTAACCTCCCCCCATCTATTTTATGCCTATCTCTGGTTGGCTCTTGTATGTGCTCTGACCAAAGATCAAACCCACAAACTTCGGTGAATCCAGCAACACCCTAAAAAACTGAGCTACCCAGCCAGGACTAGATGAACAATTTTTAAAAGAAGCTCAAACCTTTTGTAAAAGGAAATTTGACATAGAACCCCTACATTTGAGACACTTATAAACGGAGGTGCTGTAAGGAAACTCTGTGCTGACTGACCCCACCCTCCCAACTCACCTACCTCCCTAACAGCTCTCCAGAGGTCCCGAAGAGCATCTGAAGCACTATCATACCAATCAAGAGGCTAAGTAAACATATACCAATTATACAAGAATTGGACACAATCATTAAGCCTAGAGATACCAGTTACCAGTATCTTTGAAATGTGTACCCCCCAAATAAACACACACACACACACACAAAAAACAATGACTATTTCAAAAATGTAAACATTACCTCATGTAAATTGAGATACTATCACATGAATCACACTATCTCCTAAGTGGTAGAATTCTTAATGACTTTAATATCCTTAGTCCCATTTTCTATTGCTAACTGAATTATCCAACATATTTGTTACATCAATCTGCTATAAATTTATAAATTCCACAGATTTGGCTTAAATAAAAAAACAGATTAAAAAAAAGATTTTATTTAGTTTTTAGAGAGAAGAGAAGGGAGGAAGAAAGAGAGGGAGAGAAGCATCAGTGTGTGGTTGCCTTTCATGTGTCCCCAACTGGGGACCTGACCTCACAACCCAGGCATGTGCCCTCACTGGGAATCAAATCTGTGACCCTTTGGTTCACAGGCCAGAACTCAATACACTGAGCCAGACCAGCCAGGGCAAAAAAGAGGTATTTCTATCAAAATCTATTCAATTCAGTATTTGTTAAGCATCCTTAATCTTTGGAAAACAGCCAAATATACAAATAATTAGAATTCAATTTAGGGTGAAAATCACATAGCTTAGAATACTATTAGGAATTTTGTTGTATCTACCTAAAAAACGAGAATTCAAGGAGAAGGTAACATCTGAAATGGGTACCCAGACAAGGAATGAGAAGTCTGGTATGACTTGCAAATGTGCCTGGAGACGTTTTGTAGAGGACCTTCAGCACTTGCCTGAGAAGTCTTCCAGGCAATGAGCAATTAGCATGGTTTCCCCCAGCACAAGTTCCATATCCTTCTTTACCCCATTATTAAATGCCAGGAGTCTCTGAGAGTTCTTTAACTGAAGTATCTCCACACTCTTCTTTTTCTATAAACCCCAAATACACGCCTAGGGATACCCCTCTACTCATCTATAAAATCACTTGTCATCTCATATTCCACAGGAATCCTATCTGCTTCCTCTGTTCATCCTGCTGCCCAGCAGGAAACCAGGTATTGATTCCTCACCTCACACATCCTAAGTCCTGTTAGTCTACTTCATGCTCCACTGGGAATATAGGGAATAGAGAGGCTGTCCTTCAGACTACTGTGGGACCGCACAAACCCAGAAGGCACTGTTCCATATTGCTCGCAGCAGAAGCATCAAGTGCTAGATTGGTGCACTGCACCCCCTCTATATCCTTATTGTGACACTACTATCTTTTAATAGATTAACACTATCTTTTTTTAAAAAGATTTCATTTATTTATCTTTAGCGGGGAAGGGAAGGAAAGAAGGAGAGAAATATCAATGTATGGTTGCCTCTCATGAGTCCCCTGCTGGGAACTGGCCTAAAACCCAGGCATGTGCCCTGCCTGGGAATTGAACCGCGATCGTGTGGTTCGCAGGCCCGTGCTCAGTTCACTGAGCTACACCAGCCAGGGCTAGGTTAATACTATCTTCGTATCACATCCTTATAATCTAGAAAGCCCTTCCTGATCCAGCCTCAACTTACCTCTCCATTTCTCTTTCCACTCTCCCCTTTAATGAGAATGATTTCAATACTGCCACCTAAGATTTCATTTGTATATGGTCCATTCTGGTCCCCACCCTTATTCTTTAAATCTGTTACAGGGTGAAATGTCACTTCTTCTGGAAAACCTCTCTTGAACCCTTACACTAAATATAATAAGTAGGTTAAGTCTACTTACTATTAAAGGATTCCAATGCAACTGAACTTAATATCTTAACACTGAATCTGAAATTACTTGTTCAATATTTGACTTCCCCTCTAAACCTTGAGTTCCCTACAAATAGTGGGGACCCTATTTTCTGTCTTGTTCTCCTGCTAAATCTCCTGTCTTTAAAGTGGTACTTGACACACAGCAGACGCTTAAAGTTACCTACTGAATAAGATTGGAGATGTACTTCAGATTATCCTGGCATTCAACTGTTGCTCGGACTGGAATGGAAATAGGTATACGGCTATCAGTCTGGACAATACTGTCACTATCCGTATCAGAGTTAAGATAATTTTAAGTACAACCAAAACAAAAGCCATTTTTTTAAAAGGAAAAGGCAATGGAGAAAAAATAAATGCATTGGTTTACTACAGTCAACCTGTGACATCTGTTGACAGTGAGAAAAGAGTTGAACTATAAACAGCATTAAGCAGTAGGCCATTTACTCAGGACAGCAGGACTTGGTATGTTAGAAAGCAGACAGAAGGGGTCAAGAAAGATGCAGGGCAGAGAAAACACTGTTGGAAGAATAAAGTACAAGGAGAAAGGAAAATAGCAGACAGAAGAGTTAGCCTTTCCTCAGAGATTTCTCTTAAACAAAAGAGAATAGAAAAAAGATTTTGCAGTTAAATAGGACATTCTTTTAGCAAGTAAATTATGTCCAATGTGTTCAAACCTGTTATATGTCTTTAGATCATCTGGTTAGTGAGAGTGGCAAGAGTAATTAGGCAATTTAAGAAGAGCTGAGCAAGTTTCAAGTATCTGTTATGATGAACTTGCTATCAAGCAAAGGCAGAAGAAATTAAGACTTTAAAACACATATCAGAGGGCCTGATCTATAATTAGGTATACCCAATTAAAACAATCTTGAGTGATTCTCTACAAGAGAATGACAAATAATATGTACTAATGAAAATGGATTCAGCCTGGCTGGTATAGCTCAGTGGATTGAGTGCAGGCCTGTGAACCAGAGTATTGCGGTTCGATGCCCAGTCAGGGCACATGCCTGGGTTGCAGACAAGTTCCCAGTAGGGGACTCACAAGAGGCAACCACACATTGATATTTCTCTCCTTCTCTCCTTCCCTTCCTCTCTAAAGATAAATAAATAAAATCTTTTTTTTTTTAGACTTTATTTATTTACTTTTAGGGAGGGCGGGAGGGAGAAAGAGAGGGAGAGAAATATCAGTGTACAGTTGCCTCTCACATGCTCCCTACTGGGGACCCGGCCCAGAACCCAGGCATGTGCCCTGATTGGGAACCGAACCGCCGACCTTTTGGTTCATAGGCCAGCACTCAATCCACTGAGCCACGCCAGCCAGGGCTAAATAAAATCTTAAAAAAAAAAAAGAAAGAAAATGGATTCAGCTAAGAACAACAGGCTTCATAATTCAAAAACATTTCAGAACACATTTCCAACTGCCAATAAAATATTTAAACAAGAAATGGATATAAGATGGGAAACAGCAAGAACCAAAGGCCAGTTATAAGGAAAATCCATTTTCATTGAAAGTGAGAAGGGAAAAAAACCAAGAGTATATCAGCTTCTGTTTTTTACCTATCAAGATGCTATACTGATTTAGAGAGATGCCAGTTTTGAAACCAACTTATCTTGACTACATCAGTTTGTTGAGAGAGTATTAGGCATTAAGAAGCATAATTCAATTTCACGTACTATTTTAAAACAAACTGAATCCACAATTATAAAGTAAACCTAACCTTGGTAAAAAGTTTAATTGGATCATATCCAGTTGATTTTGCCCATTCCTTTGTGGAAATACGTTTAATGTCACCATCTTCATTTGATGCTCTGGCTCTGGCTTCAGCTTCCATTGGTTCCCCTACAAAACAAACACTTATTTTCAACTGTAATAAATATAGAACTAAGGTCTCTTCCACCTTTAGGAGGAAAAAGGTTACTCATGCAAGTCACCTGCGCACGACCCATTCCGAGTTCAAGGATAAAGAAAAATAACATGCTCATCAGCATCTTCATTACAGGTCAGTTTCTGAAGGCCACATGTAGAATAATTCAGAGTATAAACCACATCTGGTAACTCCCAGCCGTATTTATTAGATTTGTGAAATTTCTCTGCACCTTAATTTTCTCACCAGTAAAAGGAAGCTACCCATTTTTAAAAAAAACATTGTTTTAAAGATCAAAAATAGGTCTGAAGCATATAATACAGCATCTAGCACACGACAGCATTTCCCCCCTTGAGCTATCAATATTAAATTGACAAAATAAAAGTAGTGCTCACTAATAAGAAAATATATCCTAAGGAGTTTAACTCACAGGAAGCTTCAGGGTCAGCTCTGTCAGGAGATACTTCTTGATCAGCATCTTCTTCCCCAAACAACTGGCTATAATTTAAAAGTAGTAAATATTTATGTACAACAAAATATTCTGAAGAAATATTTACTTTTCCAACTTTCCTCACAAACAGCTAATTTAGAATAACCCTAATCTTTAGTGAGGATGAGAACAAACAACTGATAAATACTCCATAAACTTAAAAATATTAAACTCATCTGTTGGTAGCTTGCATCCTAATCTCAATTACAACACAAGGAAAGCTAAATTTTAGTAGACCTATATTCATTCCTATCATCCATGCGCTGCCTATCTTATGTTAGAAGTCTCTGATCAAGAGACAGGTGAGCAATCTTTACATTCTAACCTGCTTAACATTCTAACGTCAGAAAAATGTTGGTGGAGTACACCTGCAGCCAGCATTCAACAAACATTATCACACATCTGCCCTGTACCAGGCACTGCTTTAGGTGCAGGAATACTCAGCAGTGAATAAGACTTTTTTCATGATAGTATGTATCACTAAAGAATCTTAAAAAAAAAAAAAAAAAGATTTTAGTTATTTTTAGAGGAGGGGAGAGTGGAGAGAAACATCGATGTCACACATCAAAGGGTTACCTCTCACATGACCACAACCCGGTATGGGGCCTGCGACCTAGGCATGTGTCCTCACTGGTAATCAAGCCAGCAAATGTTTGGTTCACAAGTTCACAGGCTGGTGCTCACTCTACTGAGCCATACCACCAGGAAATACTGAAGGGTCTTAAGAAGCAATATAAAAAATTGTAAGCTGAAATTCTCTTTTGTTAATTCAGGCAACACTAAAAGCTGTTTAATTAACAATACTTATGGGAATACAGTTTTCCAACCTTTCCTCAAGCACATGACACAAAGAAAGTTATCTTAAAGGAATCCTTTGTGGTTAAAATAAATAAAACAATACAAAAAAAACACCAAACTCAAAAGCTATTATCTCAAAGCCCCTAATATATTTCACAAGAAAATGCCCATTTGTGTCTTAAAGTTGTTGTACCAATTTATGCCCCACAATGGCATGTAAGAATTCCTACTGATTCTCTTCCTCTCCCGACTTAATGTTTGCCAAACTACTGGTGTAATACAGTATATCTTGCTGTGGTTTTATTTTTTCCAAGTTAGTCATAAAGCTAAACCTATCATTTGTTTACTGCCTATTTGGGTTTCTCTCTAAGTGAAAAAAATGCCTGTTTGTATTATTTTATCAGACTGTCTTTATCTTTTTTTTAGGTTGTTTTTTTCTTACTGATTACAAGAGTACATAACAAATCAACTTTTACTTGCTTATATGTTGCAAATATTTTGTCACATATAATGGCTTAACATTTATACATCATTTAACATCTTTTGATGATGAGATATTTGATGGATTTGAATGTATCAATCCTTTAGGTTGGCAATTTTTGTGTCTTGAGAAATTTTCCCTAACCCTGAAGATAAAGACTTCCTCCAGTATTAGAAAAATTTTAAGTTTTGTCTTTCACAACTAAGTATTTAATCTGTACTTAATTCCTACATTTTGTTTGAAGTAGAAAACACAAAATTTCCCACACTGATAATGAACTAATTTACCTTTTATTTAATCCCTTTTTTTCACCTGGGACCCATTATGCAGCCTCAGCTATGAGCTCTGCATTGTCCCAAAGTTGTTTCTCTACCCCTGCCCCAGCAACACCCTAAATTATTTTTAGCTTATATTAACTCATGACAGCTGTCAGAGCAAGTAATCTTAAGTTATTCTTCTCCAGGAATGTTTTGGTTCCTCTTAGGCCTTATTCTTCCACATAAATTCCATATAAACTTTAGAATCAGCTGGACAAGTTCTAATAAAATCCCTGATGAGCCCTGGATGGTGTGGCTCAGTGGGTTGGGTGCCAGCCTGGGAATCAAAGGGTCGCCGGTCAGGACACATGCCTAGGTTGCGGGCCATGTCCCCAGTTGGGGGTGCACAAGAAGCAACCATACATTGTTATTTCTCTCCCTCTTCTTTCTCCTTCCCTATCCCTGTCTAAAAATAATAAATAAAATCTAAGGGAAAAAAATTCCTGATGAGGTTTTAATTAGAACTGTAATGAACCTACAGATCAATATGGAGACATACTGACAATACTGGAATTTACAATACACAAATACACTCTCTCTTTTTAGTTGGTGCTTCTTATGTTCTAACAATCACTAACTTTCTATATTGAGGCCTCTGTGTCTTAAGATTTATTCCCAGGTAATTCATACTTTTCAACACTTCACATTTAGTTATCTTTTATAATTAGCTATATGCTTTTCTAGCAAGTTATCTACTTTTATATTATACTTTATACCTGCCTGATGTGATTAGAAATGCAATTGATTTTTAACAATCTTTTAGTTAACCATGTTGCTGAATTTCACTATTTCTATAATTTGTCTGTAATTCTTTGGAATTTTTTATGTAAGTTACCTATATTGTATGCAAACTACAACAGTTTTATTTCTTCATTTCCCAATTCTTAAGCCTGTATTTTCTTCTTCTTGTTTATTATGCTGGCTAGGAACTTGAGTACAACAGCACAGAGAAGAAGCACTGCCCTGGCTGGGGTGCCTCAGTGGGTTGGATATTGTCCAGTACACTCAAGGGTCATCAGTTGAATTTCTGGGCAGGGTACTGGACTGGGTTGCAGGTTGGACCCAGATGGGAGCACACGGGATGCAACCCATCAATGTTTCTCTCCCTTTCTTTCTCCCTCCCTTAGCCTATCTCTAAAAATAAATACGTATTTTTTTAAAGTAGCACTGGGTATCCTCATGTTGTCCATAATTTCAAAATTAATGCTTTAAAATTTTTATCATTAAAAGTAATTGTTGTATTAAGTATATGGATAGCAAATAATGGGAGCCTGGTTTCTGACCTTTGGAGTGGGAGTTTACAGATAAGCAAGGGTAGGCAGTGAGCTAGAATGATGCAAATAGTAAGGGGTTAGAGTTGAAGACAGTATGAATTCGTGTTTAGTTTAATATAGATATGGATGGTTAGACACAGAAATATTTATAGATTTGTATACGGAAAAAAATACAAGTTAGTAAATGTACTTTTTTGATCTGTCAGCTAAAAGAATCAACACTCCAATAGAATACCTAAACACTCAGATGTGGGCATCTAATACCATTCTTCAATAAAAGGAACCAGGGCTCCTTCGAGAAATGTGTTCTAGGATGGGGCAGGAAATGCTGTGTATATGAGATGAGCCTGGAGCACTTTGCGGTACCAGAAGTAAGGAATTGCTTAAATCAAAACAAAAATAAAAACATGCCCTAGCTGGTGTGGCTCTGTGGATTGAGCACCATCCTGCAAATCAAACAGTTGTTGGTTTGATTCCCAGTCACAGCACATGCCGGGGTTTCAGGGCAGGTCTCCAGGTGGGTGTGTGTGAGAGGCAACCACACATTGATGTTTCTCTCCTTTTCTTCCTCCCTCCCTTGCCCTCTGTCTAAAAATAAATAAATAAAATCTTTAACCCCCCCCAAAATACAAACAAACTCAAGACATTAAAGGTAGTACATTAAAAAACAGAGTCACCTTAAAGAGCTAATGGCCAAAGCTGGAACAATTTGAGCAAAACAACATAAAGCAGTATTTGGCCCTGGCTGGCGTGGCTCAGTGGACTGAGCACGGGCCTGTGAAGCAAAGGGTCCCTGGTGGGGGACACATGAGAGGCAACCACACATTGATGTTTCTCTCCCATTCTTTCTCCTTCCCTTCCCCTCTAAATAAATAAATAAAGGCTTTAAATTAATTAATTAAAAAAATTTTTTTTATGTTGAGAAGAGAAATTTTGCAGGCAGAACTTCAAATAATTTATGTGGATACTCGTCCTCAAGGAGGTGGAACATAACTCCCCATTCCTTAGGTTTGGGCTACACACAGGGAAGTCCTTTCAAAGTAGGCAGTACAGCATAGTAAGTGGGGGGCAGGGGGAGTAACTTTATAGTGAAGAAACCTGACAAACACTAAGTGATCGAGGCCAACATTAAACGATAATTAATTATGTCAAGAATATGTACCCTGCATATATGATAAAAATGGCAACTCTAAGCCCTGGCTGGTGTAGCTCAGTGGATTGAGCACGGGCCTGCGAACCACACGATCGCGGTTCGATTCCCAGTCAGGGCACATGCCTGGGTTGCAGGCCGGTTCCCTGCAGGCCAGTTCCCAGCAGGGGACGCACAAAAGGCAACCATACATTGATGTTTCTCTCCCTCTCTCCTTCCCCCCTTCCCCTCTAAAGATAAATAAATAATAAAATATTTAAAAAAAAAATGGCAACTCTACCTCTGTGGTGTTCATCCAATAACCTGTAACCACAGTATTATTATGAGGAAAAAAATCAGACCAATTCTAACAGTGGACATTCTACAAAATATCTGACCAGTACTCCTTAACCCATCAAGGTCATCGGAAACAAGTGAGAAATTTTCATAGCCAAGGGGTTCTAAAAAGACATGACAACTCAAGGTAATATGGCATCCCAAAAAAGAAAAAGGACATCAGGTAAAAACTAAGGAAATTTAAACAAATATGACTTTGGTTAATAAATATACCATACTGGTTCACTAATTGTTATACATGTATCTTATTAATACTAGAGGGAACTGGGTGTGAGAACCTACACTATTCTTTCAATTTTTTAGTAACTCTAAAACTATTCTAAAAAGTAATGTCTACTAAAAAGAAGTTTGCCAAATAAAGTTTGCAAGTGTTTTTAAAATATTTCACTGTTATACAATTGTATGTTTACTTTTCTGAGTGTACTATATTATACTTTCATCAAAACAAAATGCAACAGTGTCTGCTGTAGGTTTCTAGATAATATCTTTTGGTCAAGTCTCTTCTCTTACTGAGAACTTTTTTTTTTTTTAAATATTTTATTTATTTATTTTTAGAAAGAAGGGAAGGGAGGGAGAAAGAGTGGGAGAGAAACATCAATGTGTGGTTGCCTCTCACGTGGCCCTCACTGGGGACCTGGCCCGCAACCCAGGCATGTGCCCTGACCGGGAATCGAACCGGCGACCCTTTGCTTCACAGGCCCGCGCTCAATCCACTGAGCTAACCAGCCAGGGCTTACTGAGAACTTTTGTCATAAAAAGATGTATGCTAAATTTTACCACATGCCTTTCCTACATCTATGAGGATTATCTAGTTTCTCTTTAAATTTTTAATGAAGTAAATGACACAGATTATTTTTTCTAGTGTTAAACTATGCTTGCATTACTAAAATAAGTACAGCTTGCAAGTCTAACTTGTATGCTAATATTTTGTGCAAGATTTTTGCATCTGTATTTATGAATGAGAATGCCTTGTAATATTCCTTTTATCCCACAATGGCCTTAACTAGTTTTGCTATTAAAGACACCATAGCCCCATAATATGGACTAAGTATTCAATTTTTTAAAATTTCTCTGGAAGAATTTATGTAAGATTAGAATAATATATTCCTTGCAAATTTAATGGAAATGACCAGTAAATTTACAGATATTTGGTGCATTTTCAGAAAACCTGAAACAAATGATTAAATTTCTCTAAGGCATAGTACTTAATGTTATCTGGACTTCCTATTTCAGTTGGTTTTATAATTTTTTAAAAATGTATCCAGGCCTCCTGGTGCTTACCACAGGTTATGTTCTTACACTGCCTGTACAGAAAGAGGAGGCAGAGTAAACAACCCCCACATACACCTCAGCCCAAGCCCTTTGCCTGGTCTGTATTGTGAATGGGGGCACATGGGGAAAAAAAAATGTATCCATATCATTACAATTTTAAAGGTATTGACATGGTATTCTTTATTGTTGTTTTTATTCTGGGCTGAGATTAATTCCCCATTTATTCATTTATCTCTTTCATGATCAAACTTGCTGATTTTTTTTGCTCTTATCTCAATTATATCCTTCCTTCTAATTTTATTGAGTTTATTCCGTGGTTCTTTTCTAATGTAAGTTTGCACATTAACATTCACCCTTCTCCATGTATGTAAGCCTGTAACTTTTCTTCCCACTACCACATTCAAAGCAACCTACAAGTTTCACATGTAGTATCTTCACTATCATTACAAAATACTTTAACCTTCCATTTATTTTTTAATCAATGAGTTATTTTAAGTATGTTCTTATATCCCCAAAATACATAGAGTTGTACTCATTTAGTTACATGCCTGTCTCCACACTAAGCTTCCTAAATAGTTCACTGCATACAATAGGCATGCAAATAAACATTGGCTGAATTTAATTTAATCCAAACACTATCACAAGAAAGCTACTAAAGTGTCCCTTCACTATATTTAAAATAACATACATCATTAACTATAATCCCTCCAAGACTTTAAATAAAAATCACCTCATTTTCTATCATCACCACTAAAAATATGCCCAGAAATATATATATATATATGTACTCTTCTTACTTGAACAAATATTTTGCCCAAACGATGCAATGAATAGGTTCTGAAGGTGTGTTACGAATTGTACAGCCAGGAAAAGTTCGCTGAGTTGGTTTGGGATGACATTCGTAACACTCAGTCACACCCTGCAAAGTCAAAATGTGAGAAAAAAAATTTACCCCACGAGAATGGTTTCTCAATGAGATATTATCATAAGCATTTCATTAATTCCTCTCCATTCTGACTGGGTTGTATGTACGATCAACAAAATTTTAAAATGTGACTCCAAAACCCTTATACTTTTACTTTACAGAGAAGGAACTACAATATAAAAGCTAACTGAATCAACTTTAGTCACAGCTAAGGCTAACCCAGGACTCCTCTGAACCCTGACCCAGGGAACACCACTTATACCAAGCAAATAATAATTACAGCACCTTAATATCAAACATGAGAAGTTTACCCTGATCACACCGGAAAAAAAAAAAAAAACTACTAGAAGCAGAAATAGTTTTCCGACTATCTCAAAGTTGTGAAACTGTTATTTAAGTATTATTCATAGCCTCGCCTTATTCTCCTAAAGACTAAGTGAACTAAAATTACTGATTTCAAGAGCAATCTAGATACCTTATAAAAATACTTCATAGTATCAAACCAAATATTGTTCATTTTGCTGAGTGTTACCTTTCAAGTTACACTGTAAAAAGTCCCAAAGTCTATAGTACTTGAGACAATTTTTCAAAACTATCAATTTTTCTTTTCCTCTTAGACTCTCTCAACCTCAGTCTTAATACACGCCAGTATCTTAGGATCACAATGAGAATTATCTTTCTAATAATGGTTAAAGAACCAAAACCTGTAAATACTGCTTTGACATAAACTAGCAGATTGAGAGTTTTCCCCATGATACCATTTCTGGGGGTCCTTCCAGTATGTTTTCTTGGAGGCAATCATATATGGCCAGCAGTTATTCCTCATATCACAGTAGGAAAAAAAAAGAGCAGGTGCCTTAACCTATCGACAGATCCTGAAGGCCTCCACTGATTTAATTAAATTGACCACACTTTGATATTTATACATCTTTATAGAATGATCCTCCATAAGCTTCCCAAAGTATTTTGACAGTTAAAGCAGAAACAAAATTTTCAAGATGCATAAACTGCTAAACAAAAGGGCAAATTTCAAGTACAGTGTCACTCCTTTTAGTTTCAAAATCTGTACAGTTTCTTGAAAGAATTAGAAAAAAAAGATGTGAACAGGAAATGAATCACAATGCTAAGATTTTTATAATTGGGTTACGAGCACACAGATATTCACTCTATTATTCTCTATCCAAACTTTTGGGAAACTTAATAAATACACCAAAAATATTTTCCAACATATTCTTCAGATGTATCCATCCAAACTTTTTAAACTTTTATTTTGTTATTTATGCTTTTACAGTTGTCCCAATTTTTACCCTTTTACCCCCTCCACACACTGCCCACTCACTTAGGCAATCCCCACACCGTGGACCATGTCCATGGGTCATGCATATATATGCTTTGGCTACTACATTTCCTATACTGTCCTTTACATTCCCATGACTATTCTGCAACAACAAATTTTTACTTAATTCCTCTACCTTCTCCCGCCTATCCCCGAGGCCCCTCCCATCTGGCAACCATCAAAATGTTCTCTGTATTTATGACTGTTCCTGTTCTGCTTGTTTGCTTTTTCAGACACAATTGTTGATATATATTTATTCAAATTTTATTGTTCATGTTTATCTACTTCTTAAAGATGACCCTTTAATATTTCATCTAATACTGGTTTTGTGGACTCCTTTGTTTTTCTTATTTAAGAAGCTCTAGCTATCCTGATTCTAAATGATAGCTTTGCTGGATAGAGTAATCTTGGTTGTAAGTCCTCGCTTTTCATCACTTGGAATATTTCTTGCTATTCCCTTCTAACCTGCAATTTCTTTAGAGACATCAGTTGACGGTCTTAGGGGAACTCCCTTGTAGGTAACTAAGCACTTTTCTCTTTCTGTTTTTAAGATTCTCTCTGCCTTTAACCTTTGGCATTTTCATTATAACATGTCTTGGTGCGAGCCTCCCTTGGTTCATCTTGTTTGGGATTCTCTGCGCTTCCTAGACTTGTATGTCTATTTTCTTCACCAAGTTAGGCAGGTTTTCATTATTTTCTCCAATAGGCTTCCAATTTCTTGCTCTCTCCTCCCTTCCACACATCCTTGATACAAATGTTGGTATACCTGAAGTTGTCACAAAGTTTCCTTCAACTATCCTCATTTTGGGGGATTCTTTTTCCTTCTTGCTACTCTGATTAGGTGTTTTGGGGTTCTTTGCTTCCTTATATTCCAAATGACTGATTTGATTCTCAGCTTCACCCACTCTATAGTTGATTCCCTGTAATCTTCATTTCAGTGTATGGCTTCATTTCTGAATGGTTCTTTATGGTTTCCACGTCCATTTTTATGCTATTGAAGTTCTGAATTCACCCACTCTTCTCCTAAGTTCATTCAGCAAACTTATAGTGTTTTGAACTCTTTACCTAGTAGATTGCTTGTCTCCATTTCACTTCTTTTTGTATAGTTTTGTTCTTTCGTTTGGGCCGTGTTTCTTTGTCTTCTCAATTTGGCAGTCTCCTTGTGTTTCTTTTTTTTTACGATTTTATTTATTTTATCTTTAGAGGGGAAGAGGAGAGAGGGAGAGAAACATCAATGTATGGTTGCCTCTCATGTGTCCTCTGCTGGGAACTTGCCTGCAACCCAGGCAATGTGCCCTGACTGGAAATCAAACCGCGAACCTTTGGTTCACAGGCCCGTGCTCAATCCACTGAGCTACGCCAGCCAGGGCCCTGGCAGCCTCCTTGTGTTTGTTTCTATGTATTAGGTAGAGCTGCTACTACTCCCTTGCTTAAAAGAGGGGCCTAATACAGTACGTGTCCAGAGGAACAGCCTCCCCTATCACCCAAGCTAGGTACTTGAGGTGTGCCCACCATGTGGGCTGTGTACACCCTCCCCTCTTGTAGTTGAGTCTTGATTGCTGCTGACAAGCCAATGGGAAGAATTTACCCAGGTCAATCAGTCACAAGGACTGGCTGTCACCATTGACCACTTACAACAACAGCTGTGGAAGGACCCACTCCACAGAACAGGACTTAATTCAGCAAGGTTCTGGTGCCTTCGGAGTCTTCCCCTTCAATGTGTTGCTTGTGGAGGTAGTAGGGTGGTAGTACTCCAACATGGTCTGTTGCTGTCCACCAGGTGCACTGGCTCTGGGGCGTCACGGAAGGTGGCAGATGAAGGTTAACCACTGCCTCTGTTCTGTCTGGGGCCAAGAGCATAACCTACAAAGCAATCTGTGGATGGTGTCTATTGTGCTGGGCTTAGAAGTGCCCAAAGTGAAGCCAGATGCTGCTAGTGCCAGGCCTCCAGCCAGTCAGCCCACAGGGCTCACTGAGGCCAGATGCTGCTTGTTTGAGAGGATTTATAAAAATTTGAAGCATGAGCGAAAACAAGCCATTTGTACAGAAAAGCCTTTGGGAACAGCTTGGGTGGGCCCTAATGTTAGGTGGGACAGAGCCTCAGGGAACCAGCAGGGGTGGGTCAAACAGTGTGAGCCAGGTAGATGGAGTCTTCAAGATATGTTGTTGCTCACCCACCAGTTCTGTGGCTCTATGGTTTTGGGGGGGGAGCTCATAAAAGGAACATTGGCTTCTGCCACCACTTCTCTCTGGGAGAAAGCTGCCCCCAGGCTCTCGTCCTGATGCCAGACAATTCAGCTCCTCCCTGTGTGCCTTTCAATCTGCTTCTCCCACGCTGGAGCTGAGAAGGAGTGAGTCTGATTAAGTATGTACATGAGCCTTTTAAGAGAACTGCCAGGGAATTTAGCAGTTTCTGTCTGCCACAGCCTCAATTCTCACTGGTTTTTACTACCAGGAGGTATGTGCACTTATTTTCCTGGCACTGAAACCATGGGCTAGGGAGCCCGGTGTGGGGGTGGGACTCCTCACTCCCAAGATGTCCCTCCCAATTTTTATCTGCCACATGTGGGTGTGGGATCAGGACATTCCATATCTCCATCCTTACCAGTCTTGATGTGGTTTCCTCTTTAATTCCATAGTTGTAGGACTTTCATTCAGCTTGATTTCTAGCAGTTCTGAACAATGGTTGTTCTAGTTTAGTTGTAATTTTGATGTGGTTGTATGAGAGGAAAGCTGTGTTTACCTAGGCCGTCTTAGCTTTCTCCAGACTTCTTTACCCAAAGTGTAACTTTTTTAGAATCCTTGTTCACCATATACAAACTATACCATGACGTCTCATGTCTACAAAAAATTTTAAAAGTCAGCCCTGGCTGGTGTAGCTCAGTGGATTGAGCATAGGCCTGCGACCTAAGAGATCACAGTTCAATTCCCAGTTGGGATACATGCCTGGGTTGCAAGCCAGTTCCCAGCAGGGAACACACGAGAGGCAACCATACACTGATGTTTCTCTCCCTCTCTTTTCCCCTTTCCCTCTAAAGATAAATAAAATCTAAAAAAAAAAAAAAGAATTTTAGAAGTCAGGTTTATTATGTTTACCAGTCTATGGGTTTTAAGGTACGAGCTAAATGACTCAAAGTAGCACAGAGATAACGGATCTCTGCCTGCCCTCTTTTGGGGTGCCTGATGGTATCCTAAGTTTTATAGGGGCACAAAATTCTTTATGTCCTGGATGTTGAATCACCCATACCACATAAATCCAAAGTTTATGTCATTCCTCCTTCTCCTTGGCGTCTCAAGTATTTCAAAAAAATATATAAAAAAGTTCTTTACCTTTTTAATAGTAGTCACTTGCCCAAGATACCCAGCAGTTCCACTCTCAATAAGAGGAACATCAGCCGCCAGACACATTCTATTAACATGGTTTCGGGCAGCTGAAAAAAAATTATAGTTAGCAGGACTTTATTTGGGGGCGGGAAAGAAATTAGTTAACTTTTAATTAGGATGACATTTACACAAACTATTTTTTATTTTACATGCAATTTACTTACAGCTGTGACCACAACATAACTGTTACAGACATTTAAGAAACATTCACTAGCATAATTTCCAACGTAAGAAATTTGTTTACCTCAGGAAAAGCACCTCTATAGTTAATAATTAACATCCAAAGTGCCATCTTCTTCTATTGCTGTGCCTACTCGATAAATCTTGACTAAAACATTGTTTCAATGTGTTCTGAGTTCTTAACTTGCTATTATTCTAATACAATTCCAGGTAATACGTGAAGTTTAGAAGCATGTGGACTATCAATTTGGAACTATTAAGGCAGTTTAAGGCTAGGTAAAAAATGAGTTCAGTTAAAAGATTCTTTCTGACCCTTTATATGTGATTTTGTATGTTTTTTCTCTTCCTATTTCTATCCCAAATTGTTACAAACTCATTTGACAGATGTATTTTACATGTGGAAGTAATTAGAGGCAAGGAATATTAAGTATTTTCACCCTACATTCCAGAAACACATGTTAACAATGACTGACTATACAACACTGGATCATATGAAACATCATCACATACTGTGAAGTTTTAGTTCATCCATAATGTATGCATCTAATAGAATCCAATCTAATATCTCACAGCACCAGATATAATTCAAGAGCCATAGCTTGTTATCAACTTCAGCATCCTGTTGCCTCATTTGCAAAACAGGGGTTTTTAAGCCCTGATTGCACTTTCAAATCACCTGGGGAACTTTGGAAAAATGACCTTGTAAGTCTGGCTGAACTAGTCTTGGGTAAGATCTGAACACTGATACTTCTTAGATTTCCACATAAATGAAGGGAGTGACAGCATTTAAGTGCTGGGATAATCAGAATCAAACATCCATGTATATACCCTATGTGGTCATTCTCTTTAGTATTTTTCCTTATATTCACACCTTTGATAGCTAAATTCCTGCCTGGAACCAGTGTTATTTAAAGTCATAATCATTTGGCAAGATTTAAACCTGATCACACATCTGTTTAAGTTCTAATTCATAAGGAAATATTTTATTTAATTTTAAATGTGTAAACAGCCTTATTATGGGGAAAGAAAAATACTTAGAAATTTTAAGTATTAAAATAATCTCACCTCTGTTATCTAAAGCATTCATAACCAATATAAATTGTCGGAAAAATTCCACATTATAGTCAGGGCTACAATGCAAAACAAAAAAAGATCAATAAAACAGCCATCCTTACACATGATCTTCACAGTAAAGTACAGGGTCCTAAAAAGTACATTACAATAATTATGACACAAAAATAACTGAAATAATCAGGGGTCTCTACACTGACATAGATTTGACTTTTTCTAAACACCATAAGCAAATTTTAAAGAAATACTTTCCCCTAATCCCTATGACAGGCTATACATCCTTTGTGGCCAGCTACCTAGGGCCAAGAGCAAGATCTCCAACTAGCAGAAAGATGGCATGACTTCACTGGTCCCATCAGACCTTCTGTGGGCAGCAAGTGCCTGGGAACACACAAAGAACACATTCCCAGGATCTGCCTGCCCTCTGGCTTTACCTCACATGGTTAGGATCAGACAGGGTTCAGGTCCCAAGAGTCCCTGCTTTTAGCAGCACTGGGAAAGCAACACAGGATAAGGGGGTTATAGGGCTGTAGGCAGGCTTGTAGAACAAACATCCAGAGCATTAAAAAGAAGCTGGAGATACAAATTCTCTGAGAAAGTATAAGACTTCCTCTAATTTCAGACCTCAAATAAGAACCCATTATTTTTAATACCATTTACTTGTGAGCTACATAACAACTCTAGGATGATTGAAGCCCTGTGCTAACACCTCCAAAATGACATATTTACTCTATCTAGCTTTACTGGGATCAGAGCATATTCACATACTATCAAAACCACTGACTCATCATAATTCCTAGTGTTACCCTATAGAAAGTCACAGTCCTAAAAATGAATTACCTTGGAAAGGAACCTTTAAAACTGAAAAAGACCACAGCTGAAATCAAGAGCAAATAATTTAGAAAAATCTGAATCATCACATAAAAGGATTTTTCATAGTTTTAGAGTATCTTTTTATTTAGAAGAATATAAGATCCTTTAATAAGTTTTCAAGTAACTTATTTATTCAAAGTATTAAAATATCTTACCTCTTATCTAAACCACTCAAATCATATATAAGCTATTACAAGAATGCCACTTGACTTATGTGGGCACAAACTACCACATTTTAATTATACTAGAAAAGTCATTTTTACAAAGTAGGATGACTTCAAGTGCATATACTTGGCTAATAAAAATACCTTATACTTTAAAACTTTAATTAAAAATTTACAACAAAAAATTTTCAACATAATAATAAGAGCATACTTCATGATGCTGTCATGGTAGGCTATGATATTAGCTTTCGGGTAAAACTGCAGTACACTTTCTTTGGCAACCTGGAAAAACAAGCAACACTAAATTACTAATTTACTAAATTAATACAACATTTCTATTTGTATTTGAAATACATTTATGGCAAACAATACTACTGTTTTACCTACTCACATAATCTTGTTCTTATTAAAAACTAAAGAAATATAAAAATGTCAAAATTTCATTAAAAGTAAGCTATATATACATATTTATAAAATAATAGGAGGGTCACCCTACTCTCATATATAATTCTACAAGAAAAACAAGCTTCATTAAAAATATAAAATATAGCACAGAAGTGTCATTCATTCATTCAACAAATATTTACTAAGCATCTTCTATGTACCAAGATCTTTATAAGGAAGGCACTTGGTAAGCAAAAGTGTCATTAATCTAATAACCATCCAGATAAATGTAACTATAAACTATGAGAAATGATAACCAGAAAAAGCAGAGGTTATTATGAGAAGATATGGTTTATTCTAAGAGATTTGGGACAGTACCCCCAGAGAAGGGAGCCTAATGGAAAAAACCTTGGGTGGGAGTTTGCTATAAGGACTGGCTGAAAAAACCAAAGGGAAAAAATGTCCTAACGCCCCAATCAAAATGGAACATTCAAGGAACTAAAAGCCCTGGCCAGATAGGTGTTGGTTAGAGAACTGTTTATATCAAGTTGGAGGTTCAATCCTTGGTCGGCAGACATAAAAGAATCAACCAATGAATGCATGGATATGTAGAACAACAAATCGATGTTTCTCTTTCTCTTAAATTAAAAAAAAAAAAATCAATAAATAAAGAAAAGGGAAAAAAAAAAAAGAACTAAAGAAAGGCCAGGGTGGCTAGAACCTCAGGGGAGGCTGTCTCCTTTAAAAAGGCACAACAGCACTGGCAGGTGTGGCTCAGCTGGGCGTAGCTCCACAAAGCAGAAGGTCCCAGGTTGGATTTCCAGTCAGGGTGCATGTCTGGATTGCCAGTTAGATGCCTGATCCACTTATGACAGGCAAACAAGTTTATGTTTCTCTCTCACATCAGTATTCCCCTCCCTCTTTTTCTCCCTTCCTTACCCTCTCTCTAAAATAAATAAGGTTAAAAAAATAAAATAAAAAGGGACTGCATAAACTATAGCTTCTCTTGCCTCCAAATAGAGGAGCGGCCAATCTCTAGAGAATGTAGGAACACAAGGTTCATCACAAGCAAACAATCATAAATTTAAATAAGAAAGGGGAACCATTTATAGGATTTGGTACAGCACTTCCATTTCCTCAGTAGACCAAAAAAGGGAGGTATCTTTAGTCCTTTACTCCACATATCCTTTTTATTTTTCACAATACCTCAGCTAAAGAGATGGCTCCTCCATATCATCCTTCCTACTATATATCTAATTAACCTAACATCATAAATAGAGGATCCATCAAAGAATAGAAAAATAAATGAATAGAAATGGTATGAGAAACATAGTTACCTGCGCCTTTGATCTTCCAACATGTTTCTTTTGAAATAAAAACTGTCTGTTGAGGTTGCTGACATCAATAGTATCCAGATCAATCTACAAATACATAAAACCCAGATAAATCATAAAATTTCTGGTAATTTTGAACAATAGCACTATTTTTGGCCTTTGATAAGCAAGAACCTTTGATATTTGCCACATTAGTGGAGAAAATGCTTTTTGACCAATGCCAAGATCCTTAAATAGATTATGTATATAAAAAAAATACAGGACCCATACTGATTTCTCAAAATTAGTATGGTCAGGGTTGGGAAAAAATATACAATATGAACAGAAAATAAAACAGAGAATAACAAATAAAAGATAAAGACCCAAAACAGTCATAAATTACCCCAAGAAAGGTAAAATGAGACAAAAATCTTAAAAAACAAAAACAAAAAACAAGATAACTACCACCCCCCAAAAAATTTTTTTGGATAAAAAAGAAAAAAAAATTTTTTTTTGCCCTGACTGGTATGGCTCAGTGGGTTAAGCATCACCCTGCAACCGGAAAGGTTACTGGTTCAATTCCCGGTCAGGGCACAGGCCTGGGCTGTGGGCCAGGTCCCCAGTTGGGAGGCATGTGAGAGGGTTCTTTCACACATCAATGTTTTTCTCCCTCCCCTCCCTCTCTCTAAAAATAAATAAATAAAATCTTTAACAACTTATTTTTTTAGAAAGAATGCAAATATGTTAGTAAATTCCATATTGGCCCTGGCCAGGTAGCTCACGCAGTTTCAGGGGGGAGCCAACATCAGGGCACATGTAAGAAATCAACCAGTTGCCCTGGCCAGTGTGGCTCAGTAGGAGCACCAGTCTGCAAATCCAAAGGTTATTGGTTCCATTCCCACTCAAGGCACATGCCTGGGTTGCTGGCCAAGTCCCCAGTTGGGGTATGGGAGAGGCAACAGATCTATTGATGTATCTACTGTCGTTTCTTTCCCTTTCTTACTCCCTCCCTTCTCCTCTCTAAAATAAATAAAATCTTTAAAAAGGAAAGAAAATCAACCAGTGAATGCATAAGTAAGTGGAACAACAAATCAAAGTTTTTCTCTCTACATAAAATCAATAAATAAATTCCATATTGAAAATGCAGTCCTGACTGGTGTAGCTCAATGGACTGAGTGGGAGCTGCAAATAAAAGGGTCCCTGGCTTGATTTCGAGTTGGGGCACATGTCTGGGTTGCCGGCCAGGTCTCCACTGGGGGCCTCTTGAAAGGCAACCACACACTGATGTTTCTCCCCCTCTCCTTCTCCCTTCCTTCCCCTCTCCCTAAAAATAAATAAAATATTTTAAAAAAGAAAAAAAATGCATTATATAACCCATCTCCACCAATCTAAACTTTCAATCTACATATTAAGATTTAACTGGGCCCTGTTTTTCTTCCTTAAATAATACCTGGCAAACAAATTTACTGAATTTCGCTTCTTTAATTCAAAAATCTTCAAAACAATTTCATTTATAATTGTATCTTGAGGGCTGTAAAGAAAAGTTTCTACACAAGATTTTAAAAGTCATATTTTATGTCTTATCTATTGCTGCTCAAAAGCAAATATAAGGCAAGAAAATAATGACTAAAGTAATTTTCATTCCATTTCAATAAATTTATGTGCAGAGTAATTAAATCTTCTAATTATGAAAGATCTTAACAGTTTTGCTTATAATTTGGGAAAATCAAAGCATATAACCAACCACCTAAACATTTTCTCTTTGTATTTTCAAAATTTACTACAAAAATTTGAATTAAAAATTTTACTACAAAAACTAAACCAAATAAAATAGGATCAGCACTTATTTCCAGGTGCCCAAATTCACCGTCTAGTCTATTACAAAATGGTTATTTTAAACAAGTATCGGTAGTTATCAGGTGAGGCACAACCATTTTGAATTTTTGGTACCGAAGGCAATGGAACGAGAGACCCTATAAAAAGGCAAAGGAAAAATGTGTATGTTGTTCCCCCCAATCACTCATTTATCAGCTCAGTCAGACATCTCTACTCCCTCCCCCCCCAATTCGTGATTCTACTACATATTAAGACATTTTAAACTCACATCCATTTCCAGGAAACATCTCTAATCTCTAAAGAGTTTACTTTAATAGGAATAACTTAATTTCAAACTAGTCACTGCAAACTAATGCAAAAGTTAAGATCCAACCAACATCTGTAATGAAATAAGTGTATTATCTATGCTAATAGCAGTAACAGTCACACTTATTGTACCCAGAACAGAAAGAAAAGTACGCGCCCCAAAGGAGTCCTGCCACTTGCTTCAAGAGCCAAGGTAAAATAAATTACTAAACCCCAGTTCACCTCACTTTTCTTCACACCTGTTTTTTAAAAAGTGATTAAAATAGTGTTTGCAACTACACATAAGAAGTTAGGATTACTTGCGTTAATGCGAGTAAACCCCTCAGGACTCCACCAAGGCTCGGGACAAGCGCTCATTTGGGTAGTAACACCGCCACCCTCTGCTCTGGATCATTTCTGAGTTCAGGGGGCCCTCTGATTTAAAGTCACAATGTGCACTATAAATTCAATCACCTCCTGCCTTGCATTAAAGCTAAGAACTGCTCTACAGCGAGAGGCCACTTCTACACCCTAGAGACACCACAAATTGGTGCTGTCCTGGAAGCTGAGGCCGTCCCGCCGAGGGACGCCCGGAAGACCCGGGCCCGCGGCCCCCTCGGTATCCCGCGCAGGCCCAGGGAGCAGCGAAGCCTGCTCTGTCTCCGCCGAAAAGCTTTCTCAGTTCGGCCAGGACCCCGCAGCCTCTTGGCCTGCCGTAGCACCCTGACTCCGTTCCCAACCCCCGGGCCGGGGTACCTCGGCCCACCATGCAGCCCGCGCGCAAGCCTGGCCCTCACCAGGTCGATGTGGGTGAACCCGGTAAGCACGAGGTTCTTGAGAAGCTCACAGCCAATGCCACCCGCGCCCACCACCAGCACTCGGCCACGAGCCACGGCCTCCGCCAGCTCGCGGGGAAGCCCCCGTGAGAGAGCCATTGCGGGACGACCACGAGCGCGACTAAGGCGGAGGCGGGAGAATTGAGCCGCGACCGGAAGCGGGTGGGGGAAGGGCGGTCCGGCTTCCGTTTCTGCGCACTGCGGCCGCCGGTTGGCTCCAGGTGCGGACCGTTTAGGATTTGATGAGAGGGCCACTCATTCTCAGGCTGGATTGCGAGCTGCGGGAGTCTCACACTTGCGGCTGTACTTCTGCATGGTCGTGTTGTTCCTATTTTGTTTTTTAGTTTATTTTTTTAGAGGCAGAGGAAGGGAGGGTGAAAGAGGTAGAAAAACATCAATTAGGTTGCCTCTCGTACGCCCTGGGCCGGGGACCTGGACCTGCAACCCACTTCGTCTGAGGATGTCTAATGTACTGAGCCACACTGATCAGGATGGGTCGTGTTTTTACATACATCCGCAGACCCACTGCCCAGTTTAAGAAGCCTAAGGGTCACCTTGTAGCCTGTGGTTTGAACCTGAAGGCCAAGGTTTCTTTACAGGTTAGAAAACAGATACCCCTACATGTAAAGAGCTTTTATAAATTAGGAAGAAAATGAATGCCACTCCTCCCTCCCCCCGCCAATATAGGCAAAAGATGTGAACAGGCAATCAAGAAAATGGGCAATACGATCAATAAGCATATTGAAATTTAATCAAAGAAATACAAAGTTGTATGTAAATTATTCTTACCTGTTAAATCAGCAAAAAGTTGAGAGAGGGGCTGGAAGTCTGGGTAAGAAGGGAGAAGTGATTAAGAAGTACAAATTGGAGCCCTGGCTGGAGTAGCTCAGTGGTTTGGGCGTGAGCTGCCAACCACAGAGTTGCCGGCTGGATTCCTAGTCAGGGCACATGTCTGGATTCCAAACAGGTCCCCAGTACCAGGTGTGTGAGAGGCAACCACACATTGATGTTTCAGAGAGACATCTTTCCTTCCCCTCTTTCTCCTTTCCTTCCCCTCTCTCCAAAAATAAATAAAATCTTAAAAAAGAAAGTACAAATTGGTAGCAAAGTGTCATGAGGATGTAAATAAAGTACAGCATAGGGATTATAGCCAACAATATTACAACTATGTATGGTGCCAGATGCTACTAGAGTTTTTGGAGATCACTTTGTAAGGTGTATAAGTGTCTAATTACTATGTTGTATACATGAAACTAATATAATATTGTATGTCAACCGTAAGTGAAAAAATGTTTCTTAAAATGGCAGAAAAAAGTATAATACTTTTCAAAGGATAGGGTAAACAAGCATGAATAAAGCATGTAAAATATATTTGTGAAAACAAAAAACATATTTGTTAAAATCAAAAGCAAATGGAGAGAAGTCTTGGAGTTTCCCTGAGCAAACAAAACAAGTTTAGTCAATAATTTAGTTTTAGTTACCGATCACTATGAAGACACTACTTTATCACGGTATAAGCTGCTTTGTAAAATATATCCCTGAGTCTCATTCCATGTTCTAGTTTGAGTGCTCCCAGTTTATAAACTGTCTTTTCAGTGTGTGCACAATAAACTTTTACTAATTACTACTTCTGTGATTCATTGGTTTTACTTTGGCTGAACCTTTGGCAATTAGGATTAAAATAAGGATTAAATTAGGATTTAATTTGGCAATTAAAAAACAAGAAAACCATAGTTAATATTTGTATGTACCTGTGTGTGGTAGAATTTTATATAATTTTATTTCTTCTTTAAAGTTTTTTTTTACTGTTTATTATGGTTATCTTGATTTTTTTCCCTTTTGCCCCCTCCACCTAGCCCACCCCTGTAGCCCACAGTCTGTCCATGTCCACAGGTCATTCATACATGTTCCTTGACTAGTCCCTTCCCTTCTTTCCATCATTCCCCCCCCCCACTCTCCTCCCCTCCTACAGCTATTAGTCTGTCCCATGTCTCTGGTTCTGTTTTTCTTATTAGTTTATTTTATTCATTAGATTCTAATGATCTAATGAATAGATCACTAGTTGAGATTATATGGCATTTATCTTTTGCCAACTGGCTTATTTCACTTAGCATAATAGTCTCCAGTTCCATCCATGCTGTCACAAAAAGTAGGACTTTCTTCTTTCTTTCTGCTGATTAGTATTCCATTATGTAAATGTGTTGGGGACCACTCTGCCTGGTTTCAGGAACTGTAAACCCCCATGGCTAAGGATGAGTGAGTGACCTTTGGAATGTGAGCCACAGGAGATAAAGCTTGTCTCTGGTAGCAAATGCTGCCTCAGTTTCCTCCCTGCCCCCAAAGCATGGTTGGAAGTCAATGACAGGTAAGTCTCCTCCCAGAGGGGAAACCTAAGCCAGACTCGATCACTTGGGAGGCCATCATTGAAGGACTCCGAGGGCTGCAACAAAGAGCGAGCCATAGACCCTTGCCCCCCGGCTATGTGACACACACAGCCTGATTCCCCAAGTCCTCTGGGAAAAGCACTTCCTGGCTCTAATCCATTTAAGCCTGAAAACTTGATGGGGAGGGGTACAGCTCCTAGCCTTGCTAGAGCGAATCTGGGGAAATCTGGCATAAGAAAGAATTCCTAAAAAATCCTGTGAAAACTGCTTTGCTAAGAGTGTTTTCATTCATATGTTAAGGGTCCGAGCAGAAAACCCTAAAGTTTCTGCAAACCCCCTACCTGACAGACTGACTCAGACTAAGCCCTCAGATTTCTTTGAAATGTTATCTACTGTTTGATCCTTGCCGCCCTGTATTCCTATGTATTACAACCCCATAAAAGACCCTGCAGGAAGAGGCTCCTGGCCTTTTTCCTCTGCGAAAATGGCCACCTCTCTTCCCCAAGCAGATCATGTCTTGGTACTGTTTACTTTCATCCGTGGCAGACGGGGGGACTTGAGGGCAAAGTCACCCCCACATAAATGTACCACAGTTTTTGAATCGACTCATCTACTGATGGGCACATGAGCTGTTTCCAACACTTAGCTAAAAACATGGATCACTTCATGAATTTGGGTGTTACCCTTGTGCAGGGACCATGCTAATCTTTTCTGTATTCCAGTTTAGTATATGTGCTGCCAAAACGAGCACTCTTCTTTAAAATTTTGTGTATTTCTCCGATGCTCATGTTCCTTAAAATGTTTTAAAATCAGAAAAAAATTATTACCCAACCACTGACAAGAAAGGATGAGTATGTAATGGTGTAATGGTGGTAATATTACTACAATGGCAATCATATGTGTCAACAGTATGTGTATCAAATCAACACATTATACATCTTAAATTTACACAATATATTTTTTATTTTTAAATACATTTTATTGATTATGCCATTACAGTTGTTATATTTCCCCCCTTCATTCCCCTCCACCCTGCATACCTCCTCCCCCACCATTCCCCCCTTTAGTTTATGACCATGTGTCTCAAGTTCTTTAGATTCTATATTTCCCATACTAATCTTGCCCTCCCCCTATTTTCTACCTAAAGTCAATGCTACTTATTTTCTGTACCTTCTCCCTCTTTCTCCTCCTCCCACTCCCCTGTTGCTAACCCTCCACATAATCTACATTTCTATGGTTCTGCTCCTGATCTAGCTGTCCTCTTAGTTTGCTTTTGTTTTAGGTGTGGTTGTTAATAACTGTGAGTTTGCTGTCCTTTCACTGTTCATATTTTTTATCTTCTTTTTCTTAGATAAGTCCCTTTAACATTTCATATAATAAGGGCTTGGTGATGATGAACTCCTTGAATTTGATCTTATCTGAGAAGCACTTTATCTGTCCTTCCATTCTAAATGAAAGCTTTGCTGGATAGAGCAATCTTGGATGTAGGTCTTTGGATTTCATGACTTGGAATATTCTTTCCAGCCCTTTCTTGCATGTAGGGTCTCTTTTGAGAAATCCGATGACAGTCTGATGGGAACTCCTTTGTAGGTGACTATCCCCTTACCTCTTGCTGCTTCTAGGATTCTCTCCTTCATTTTCATCTTGGCTAATATAATGATGATGTGCCTTGGTGTGTTTCTTCTTGGGTCCAAATTCTTTGGGACTCTCTGAGCTTCCTGGATTTCCTGGAAGTCTATTTCCTTTGCCAGATTGGGGAAATTCTCCTTTATTATTTATTCAGATAAGATTTCCACTTGTGGCTGTTCCTCTTCCCCTTCCAGTACCCCTATAATTCGGATGTTGGAACATTTAAAGATGTCCTGGAGGTTCCTAAGCCTCTCCTCATTTTTTTGAATTCTTGTTTCTTCATCCTTTTCTGTTTGGTCATTTTTTTTCTCTTTCTGGTCCACTCCTTTGATTTGAGTCCCAGTTTCCTTTCCATTACTATTGGTTTCCTGTGCATTTCCATTCATTTTAATTAGTTTAGCGTTCATATGTTCCTCTAATTTGTGACTAAAATCAACCAGTTCTGTGAGCATCCTGATCACCAGTGTTTTGAATTGTGCATCTGAAAGTTTGGCTATTTCTTCATCACTTAGATTGATTGGCTCTGGGGCTCTGAGTTGTTCTTGAGCCATGTTTTGATCTGTTTGTGCCTGTTACGTATAAGGAGCAGAGCCTTAGTTGTTCACCAGGGCAGGGCCCCCCAGGTCACTGGTTTGTAATGCTGTTTGTGGGGGCGGGATCAGAGAGGGACAATAGCAGTCCCCTCTGCTGCTTCCCATCACTGGGGCCTGCTCCAGTCTGTCTCACTGCTCGCTCCTTCACCGGTTTATCTGCGAGAGAATGTGTGACCGCGGTCAGCCCTCAGTGAGTCCGCCCACTTCTCCACACCCGGGATCTGCCCGCAGCTGCAGGCACACCTGGGTCGCACGCCTGGGTTGGTCCGGTGGATCTTTCCTGCCCACCCCCGCTCTGCTGCTGGCTCTGCCCCTGTTACCAGTTTGGCTGAAGTGTTCGTTGTTGTCAGTCTTCTGTATAGTTCAATTTTCTGTGGTTTGGTTGCGTTTTTGTTCCTAAAACTTTATTGTTTTTAAAATTGGTTGTGGGAGAGGGCACAGGGCTTCCACCTACGCCTCCATCTTGGCAGAAGTCCACAATATATTTCTTTAAAGATTTTATTTATTTATCTTTAGAGGAGAAGGGAAGGAGAGAGGGAGAGAAATATCAATGTATGGTTACCTCTCGTGTGTCCCCTGCTGGGAACTGTCCTGCAACCCAGGCATGTACCTTGACTGGATATCAAACCGCAATCCAAATTTACACAATATTATATGGCAAATATATTTATTTAAAAAATTATTAGCCCTGGCCAAATAACAGTTAGTTAGATTGTTGTCCCAATAAGCCAAGTTTGTGGGTTCAATCCGTGCCTAGTCAGAACACATAACAAGAATCAACCAATGAATGCATAAATAAGTGGAACAAGTCAATGCTTCTCTCTCTCTAAAATCAATTAAAAATTATTAGAATAAAGGTAAAGATGGAAAACACAGAAAAACACTTTTGACTTTTATGGTCTTTCTCATCAACTGCTTGATTCTCCTACTAAACACCAAGCTGATTTGTGAGGAATACTTAGGCTGCTGCTCTGATGCGTAGGGCAAAGAAAGCATTAGAGTGCCCAACCAGGGTAGGGAGCACCTTCATAGTGGGTTACTGATGATCCTTTCCTACTATTGGCCTGGCACTCACAAAGGCCCCAACCTGGCAGCTAAACCTAACAGAGGCCCTCCACAGGATACTGAACTTACTTCTCTCTGTAGTAACCCAGTGAATGGGAGCCACCTTCCTCGGCTTTCCTCCTGCCTCCAACTTCTTTCCCTGGGCTTAGGCTGATCTGGGCACCTAACTCTGAAGGCCTTTGGTTTCCTTTGTTGATATGTCAATGTGTATATGCATAAAGTGTAAAATACGTGCCCAACAAGTTCAAATAGGTTATAAGTAGAGGAAGTAAAAGCTGAAAGTCTCACTGCATACCCTAATCCTACTCTTGTCCTGGTCTTTGTCTTTCTAGATCTAGGTTTTTAAATAGCAATATGCAATTTTACATTTAAACAGGTTCACACTGAACTTATTTGCACTACCTTTCTGCCTTAACAATGTATAACAACTCTACCCTTATTTACTGTGCCTTATAACCACTCATAAATGGCTCCCCCTAGCCTCCCAATATCTTTTTTATTTAGCTGAAGAATGGATTTAAGGTAATGGCTGTCAGGATATGCGGGGTAGGACAAATGGTAGCTGAACTACAACCCAGAAAAGACAGCTGACGTCAAACCAGGGAGACGAAGCAATGGGCTTTGCCAAAACTATCCACATAGCAACCAGGGCCCGAGGAAAGCCACCAATGATATATTGCTGCTTTGTTCAAAGGGGACCAATCCCCAGCTCCCACAAAGAGAGCCAACCAAAATAAAACCCCACCACATCCCTGCTTGGGCGCAGCTTCTTTGGCCCCCCAATCTATGGACTGGAAAACCTCACCCGGGTGCGCAAACCCCAATAAAGCTCTATACTGCCTACCTTTGTGGCTGACTGGCATTTCTTCCTCAGTGAAGCCTAAGAACACCTTTTATTTGGTGCCGAAACCCGGGAGGAGTTGTCTGCTGAAGACTGCTCCTCTCCCTACTCCCGAGGAGGCCTCATGGCCGCCCCACCAATACAAACGAAGAACCAGGGTAAGTGCTGTTGCCTTTAAGTTTCTGGTCCCCGAACGCTGATTCCGGGCCCCCATCTGCTGGGAGAGACTGCTCTCACACCAAAACTGCAGCGCTGTGTTGGGCTGACCCTTCCGGGAGAGGCTGCTCTCCCTCTGCTGAGAGGTTCTGGGCACCGGAGGAGACGTCCCTGGACCCAGACCCCCATTTTTACCAGACCGGATCAGTAAACTGGGTTGAGGGATGCCCATTCCCATTTGCTGATCCTTGTGGGACTAGGAATAAGGGGACAGGAGTCCAAGCCAGATCCTAAGTCACCTCTAGGCAGCCTTCTGAAAAATTTGCCAGCAGTTGACCTTGGCCTTAAGCAAAAACAGCTGATTTTTCTATCCACTATGGCTTGGCCGTTATATCAAATGGGTAATTGTGAAACCTGGCCTCCTAAAGGCATTTTCCCTTATTATCTAGGTTACCCTTACTGACCTGGATAATTTTTGCAGACAGACTGGCAAGTGGTCTGAGGTCCCCTACATTCAGGGCTTTTGGACCTAATGCTCCTGCCCAGATCCGTGTGTCCAATGCTCCACAGCCCAAGTTCTCCTCGCCCAAGGGAACCTTGAACCCATGTGGCCTCCTAAGCCTACTGCCCCAGAACCTCCCTCCTCCTTTTCTAAGACCCCTGAAGATCTTGCTTCCCCTCCTTATCAGCTCCCACCAACCCCTACTCCAGCCCCAGCCCTCCCCTCTCAACCGGATTCTCCCCCTCCCTCTGAAGACCTTTCTTCCCTGGTTAGCTCAACATACTCGCTTCTGCCTGAATCTAGAGCCCCTAGACTTCCCTATTGGCCCCCTCTGGGAAGTGGCGGGAACAGAAGGTGTCGTTTGGGTCCACGTCCCTTTTTCACTAACTGACCTCTCTTCAATTGAAAAACACCTAGGCTCGTTCTTTACTAACCCTACTAATTTTATTAGGGAATTCCAGTACCTAGTCCAGGCTTATGACCTCACATGGCATGACCTGCACATCATTTTAACTTCCACCATGACCCCAGATGAGCGCAACCACATCCAGACTGCAGCTAGGGCTCATGCAGACCAAACCCACGCCACCAATCCCCTCATGCCAGTAGGGGCCGAAGCCATGCCAGAGGTGGAACCAGACTAGGACTACCAGGTAGGACAGACGGGTCGGCGGTGCCGCAACCAAATGGTCGAGTGCCTGATAGCAGGTATGCACCAATCTGCCCAGATAAGCTTAGAGAGCTCACCCAAGGCCCTGGAGAAAATCTGGCGCTGTTTCTCAACAGACTAACCCAGGCAATGGTGCTTCATACCCACCTTGACCCGGCTTCTAATGTACTTTATCTCCCAGTTGGCCCCAGATATTAGATGGAAACTGAAGAAGGTCTTGGATGGCCCCCAATCCTCCATCTGAGATTTGGTAAACATAGCATTTAAGGTTTTCAATAACCGGGAAGCAGAGGCTGAGGCTGCCCGCCAGGCTCGCCTACAGCAAAAGGTAGCGCTGCAAACCCAGGCCATTAGCGTCCCTGTCCCTGCAGCCAGCGGCAAACACCGGCCCGGGGGCAAAGCCTAAGTCCAGGCCAAAGAACACCGCACCGGGGGCCTGTTTCAAGTGTGGCAAAGAAGGGCACTGGGCCTGCCAGTGTCCTCAACCTCGACCACCAACAAAGCATTGCCCAGATTACCGACAGCTTGGCCACTGGAGGGATGCCTGTCCCCTTAGAGGCTCGTCCCCGGTGCCTCCACATGGGGGACCAGCCCATCAAGGTGTGGACTCTTCCCTGGCTGCGCCGGAACTTCTTGGACTCCTAGATGACTGAAGCAGCCCGGACTCGAAGACCCCCATCACCCTCGCCAAGCCCAGGGTAACACTGCAGGTAGCAGGTAAGTCCATCTCTTTCCTAGTGGACACGGGGCTACCTACTCTGTTTTACCATTTTTTCAGGACCTTTTACTCCTTTCCAGATCTCGGTCATGGGGGTTGACGGGATCCCGACTCGCCCATGGCAAACCCCACTGCTTAGCTACAGTCTGGACGGCCTTCCCTTTTCCCATTCATTCCTTGTCATACCCTCCAGCCCTATTCCATTTCTAGGACAGGATGTTCTCCAATAATTAGGTGCCACTCTTCAGATCTCGCAAAACCCAACCCCTTCCTCCTCCCTTACTTATCCTCCTGCTGTTGGAAAACCCAACTCCTCCAGCTCCACCCATTTCCCCTTCCCTTGTCAACCCACAAGTATGGGACACTTCTACCCCAACCGTGGCTTCTCATCACCTCCCAGTCGTTGTCCGCCTAAAACGGCCGGATGCTTTCCCATCCCAACCCCAATTTCCTATTTCCCATGCAAACTTAAAAGGATTACAACCTATTATCACCTGCCTCATAGACCAGAAACTTCTTGTCCCTGTTAATCCTCCATGCAATACTCTCATTCTCCTGGTCAAAAAACTGTCCAAGTAGGACAAAACCATCCGGAGCCTACTGCCTGGTCCAGGACCTTAGACTCATCGACGAAGTGGTCGTCCTTATCCACCCGGTAGTCCCTGACCCCTATACTATTCTCTCTCCCATTCCTCCTAATACAACCCACTTCTCAGTCCTAGACCTCAAAGACGCCTTCTTCACTATCCCACGACTCCCAGAGTCTCAGTTTCTTTTCGCCTTCACATGGACAGACCCTGACACTGCTCTGTCACAACAGCTCATGTGGACAGTCTTGCCGCAAGGGTTTAGAGATAGCCCCCGTTTATTTGGTCAGGCTTTAGCCTGGGACTTAGCCTCCTGTGACCTAGGCTCCAGTAAGGTCCTCCAATACATAGATGACCTCTTTCTCTGCAGCCCCACTTTACGGGACTCCAGACAACATACTGCAGATCTCCTTAGCTTCCTTGCCCAAAAAGGCTACCAAGTCTCTCCTGACAAGGCTCAGTTGCCAAGCCAGCAAGTCACCTACTTAGGTCTCTCTCTCTCTCACCTACCTTGTGCAGCCTTACAGCGGACCGCACTCAACTCCTCCGCAATCTCCAACCACCTATGACAGGAGATCAAATTCTCTTTCTTGGGGCTAGTTGGATCTTTCAGACAGACATTGGGTCCCCAACTTTGCCCTACTCACCAAGCTGCTGTATGAAGTGGCCAAAGACACTCCTACTGGCCCCCTCACCTCCCCCAAGCTAGTGCAAAAAGCCTTTACCGTCCTGCAAGACACTTTCTTACAAGCTCCCTCCCTTAGTCTTCCCAACCTCTCTCGCCCTTTCCATCTATTCACAGACAAGAGGCAGAGAGTTGCGGTTGGAGTCTTGGCTTAGCCGGTAGGCCCAAACCTACTCACCCTTCCCTGAAAAATGAGGAATGGCCGACCTCTAGCCCCTCTATGTTCTCCTGACAGCAGAAAGTAGCCAGATTGAACATGGTGCCCCTTATCCTATCAAAGAGGTCGGAATGTCAGGATGGGCGGGATAGGACAAAATGGCAGCTGAACTACAACCCAGAAAAGACAGCTGACGTCAAACCAGGGAGCCGAAGCAATGGGCTTTGCCAAAACAAATATCAACATAGTAACCAGAGCCTGATGAAAGCCACCAATGATATATTGCTGCTTTGTTCAAAGGGGACCAATCCCCAGCTCCCACAAAGACAGCCAACCAAAATAAAACCCCACCACATCCCTGCTTGGGCACAGCTTCTTCGGCCCCCACTCTGTAGACCGGAGAACCTTGCCTGGGTGTGCAAACCCCAATAAAACTCTATACTGCCTAACTTTGTGTCTGATTGACATTTCTTCCTCAGCGGAACCTAAGAAAACCTTTCAATGGCTTGGACCATTTCTGGGAATTACTCAGTTTTCCTGGGTCTCTCCCATATATCCAGGAGGCATACATGTTATTAAACGGTTTTTCTTCTGTTAATCTTTTATTATATTGGGGGAGTCTCACCTAAGGACCTAGAAGGGTAAAAGGGAGAATCATTTTTCCTCTCCCACAAAACCCAACATGCCTGAAGCCTTACTGAAGCCCCTTCAGTTTGCACATAGCCAGCCACTTTCCTTCAGGTGCTCAAGAGGGTAGGATCAGGTAGGGTTGTAACCAGACACACACTGACCAGGTAAACCCCACCTCATGATAATCTGGGCCTAATGTGTTATTTAGCAGAGCAGCAAACCAAATTGTATACACCCAGTTTCCCCATCTCTGCAGGCAGAGAGCAAATCTGTACACAACTGGTATGTATGTTTTTATACTGCTGTCAAGGGGTAGCAGAATGAAAAGGGTTAATAACAAAAACCAAATGGAGAGGATGAAACTGTAGGAGGGTGCAGCCAGGGGGTCCCCAAAAGAAGGATTTGCAGTGGGATCCAGAACTCAGGGTATCCAGGAAATATTAAAAATATGGGATGTCCTCACCCCCACAAGTCTGAGCTGGGGGGGATGGGATACATGGAGCAGCGCCACTGAGTTGTTTTGCATAGCAAGTTTCTTTGCAGATAACCTCTAGAATGGTCATTTAACATATCTATAACCTTTAACTGGTTTCATAATGTTAAATAGCTGTGGCGCTGCTTTGAGCCAGGGGAAAGGGAGTGACTTCCATGCTGCTTTGAGCCAGGGAGAAGGGAGTGACTTCCACTCAAGATGTAACTGGGAGGCAGCTCCCCAGCCCTTGTTACAGTGCCTGTGTGAGAGCTTGGAGAAGATTGGCTCCATGCCATGGGGCCACTCCTGCCTGGACTTAGTATGGCAGCCCAGTAAAACTGGGAGGATATGGGAGTCCTGGCGGGTGTAGCTGATTGTGGGGAGAGTCGGAAATGGGACTGCAGAGGAAGATTGGCGTGAGGATTTAAACACAGACACGGCAGCCATTGAGAGACCCACCCACTTTTGGCCAGAATGGGAACTGTCGAAGCCATGTGAGAGAGAATCACCATGTAGCTTTAGCAGAGAGACCCATGTGGCTTTGGCCAGAGTGGGGGGGACCCCCCCCACACACAGCCATGAGAAGAATCATGCAGCTTTCTATTTCTTTTCCTGAGATACAGTACCTTGGACTGGACAAAGGGGGAAAGAAGGACTGTGTATGTTTGTGGGTACTTTTAAGGGACTTTGGGATTTTGATGAAGACATTAAGTCATTACTCTTAAGTCTGTATAACTTGAATAAATAATTCCCTTCCTTGTCACCAATCTCTAACATGGAGAGCTATAATTTTCTGGTGAAGGGAAAGGTGAACCTAGTACAGGGGGACCCCAGGAGAAGGGGGGTCAACTAGGTAACATTGTGGGACGCCCTTCCCTGGTGGCCAATCCGGAAAAACCATGGGAGACCACATGTGCAGTAGCTTTACAACTACCTGTCACAGTAAAAGCCTGCCAACACTAGCCAGGAAGGATCTGCCCTATAAGAACAGAGTCCCTCCAGCCCATGAGGTCAATCCCTGCTTGGAGTTGGCCTGCTCCCATGTTCTCTGCTATAAACTCTGGGTGTTCGGTTCAAATCTTTGTCCAGATCACCAAGAACCTGGTTACCTGTGCCCACCTGTGACAAAACCAGGAAAGTCAACTTAATGCTGCCTGTCACTACCGGACCCAGTAAGTAGAGACAAAATTTAGATCTTTATGGGTGCTTTATTCAGATAGCCAGCAATCTGAGATGACAGCAGGTTATATACCCTGAAAGACCATCTTACATCTCATCTCAAGCTGACCTTTCTTTATAAGAGGGTAGGTAAAAGGTTTAGAATTCACGGAAAAAGAGGTAAGAGGTTTGGAATTCAGTGGGAAAGGTTAATCAGATAAAAGCTGCAGCTGTTCCATTTCCCTTGCATCCTTTCATCTGCTGACTGGTGATTATCTGTGTCCCTCCTCTGCTATGTTCCCTCCCTGGAGCACAGTGGCTCAGATACCATCTTCATTGCTTGTAGTCTGCCTGGGGTACCAAGGTAGAACTGCTTGTGGGTCTCCTGGAGTCAGGGTAGGGCCAGTCATACATTCCCGTTTCTGGAATAATAGCTTTCTACATGCATTAATCACCAAGCCTATTAACTATACAACTAAAGCTAAAAAACTGGCAACTCTTGAGTTCCCCCATGGAGGAGAACCTGGAAAAGCAGATGGCTGGATGGAAGGACAATGTTCAGAATTCAGCAAGAGCCCCGTCCCAGTGATAATGCAAGGGCAGAAGGTAGTATCAGCTTAAGAGATGTTCAAACCTGTAGAGAAATTTTTTAAGAATTTTTTTTTTGAGAGAGGAGAAGGGAGGGAGAAAGGGGGAAGGAAACACCTATCAATGTGTGAGAGGAAAATGACAAGCTGCCTCTCACACACCTGCAAGCAGGGACCGGGCCCCCAACTCCCGCATGGGCCCTGACTGGGAATGGAACTGGCAACATTTCATTTCACAGTCTGGTGCTCAACGCACTGAACCACACCAGCCAGGACAGAATTTTTATGAGTTTAAATTGATAACTGAAAGGTTTTCTTAGGCTCTGTTGCGGAAGAAATGCCAATCAGCCACAAAGATAGGCAGTATAGAGCTTTATTGGGGTTTGTGCACCCAGGAGAGGTTCTCCAGTCTGCAAAAGCCACACATAAGCAGGGAATGTGGCAGGGTTTTATTCTGGTTGGTTATTTTTGTGGGAGCTGAGGATCGGTCCCCTTTGAACAAAGCGGCAATATAGCATTGGTGGTTCTCCTTGGGCTCAGGTTGCTATGCAGATATCCATTTTGCTAAAGCCTGTTGCTTTGGCTTCCTGGTTTGACGTCGGCTGTCTTTTCTGGGTTGTAGTTCAGCTGCCATTATGTCCTACCCCACCCATCCTGACAATAACAAGAAACAAAATCTCAAGAGACTGAAAAAATTCTCCAGAGAATGGCAGTTTTGGAGCTTATTTTATACACAGACTAAAAAGAGGAGACATAAAGAGGGTTATATGAAATCCATTGCAAAGTCAGGAAAAATAGAGAAACATACTTCTTTTACACTGGTGGTACAGGATAGTTAATAGTTAACATTTACAGCACACGGAGATGGTACGGGGTTCCCTGGTCTGGAGTTCTGGTGCCAAGATTGTGCCTTGAGAGGTCTGGCACAAGATTAGTCTCAGATTTCAAAGGTATATTACCTTAGATGCAAACGGACAATAGACAGGTTTACTTAAGGTAAAGAGTGACCTTTGTTAAGGAAGCTAAAGGTCTAGGACATGACTACCCACCATGACTCACTTTTAGTTACGAAGTTTTATGTTCAGATCATCCTGTGGGATTAACTTTCAGTCCTTGAGTTTGTGAGGCTGCCATGTAGGACTCCCCTAAGCTTGTCAGGTTTAGTGTGTGGCCCTTTTTAGTCCACAGAATAGGTGAGGGTAGGGAGTGTGGCAGGGGAGAACATGGGCAGATATAAACAGCTGGTGTCACAGAATGGGAGCCTAAAGCAGCTGGAGCAGGTGGAGTGGCTTGATCGGTTGGCATCCAGGGACTGCAACAGAGTTCAGGGAGGTGCAGAAGCAGCAGGCATAATAAGATGCTGACCACTGCTCAGGGCTCTTCAGCTGCTCTCCCCTCTAGATGCCCACCAGGCAGCATGTGCAGCTAATGCCTGCCCTCTGGGCTATAGAGGAGCTTCATTCCAAGCTTCTACTGGGGAGAAAGGCCACTAACCTTGGAAGGATAGACAAACCCACAGCCAGGACATTCTAAATCTCGCTTCAGTCCCGGCATAGTACCAAATAGACAACACTTATAGATGAGAGTGAAGCTGGTGTGGCTCAGGGGATTGAGCACGGGCTACAAACCAAACGGTCACTGATTCGATTCCCAGTCAGGGCACATGACTGGGTTCCAGGCCAGATCCCCATTACGGGGTATTCAAGAGGCAAACATACACTGATGTTTCTCCCCCTTTTTCTTCTTCTCTTCCCCTCTCCCTGAAAATGAATAAATAAAATCTTAAAATAAAAAAAATAACTTATAGTCAAAATGAAGTAAAAACACAAATTTGGACATTAAAATTTGTCTTCATTTATATAAATAAAGGGAAATATTCTACTTCAATAATAATTCATCTGGGTCTTCTTGCACAATATAAAATTCTTCCATGGGAGTCTGCTGATTTTGAGGCCAGCAACTCTTCTCACATGTGTAAATTAGAACTGTTCCAAATTCCACAGAAAGACCTGAAAAATATAACACATTCAGGATTCCAGCAAAGAGAAAGTGTTATGAGAAATGCTTGATATCTGAGTTTGCTCATTGGACAGAGGCCAGACACTGGAGCAAGCCTGCTTAGCCTGGTGCTCCAGCTCTACTGCCTATGGAGCAAGAGACTTCACCTCTCTGGAATGGTGGTTCTACTCATCACAATGGCAAGAACGCTGTGAGGGGGATTAAACACACTAATTCATGGACGATACTTATGACAGAGCCTGGCACATCTTATATGTTCACTGTCCAACAAAGAGGCTAAGCAATTAGATGATAACAGAAGGAAAGGAGAAAAATGGCTCAATATCAGGATAACCAGTGTTGATACAGGGAGTCACTTTACCTTACAAGCTGAAAAAATAGTTATGTAAAGCAAAATCAGTGCTTACTAACTTTCAGTCACAATACAGTTACTCTTTCCTACAATAAATGACCACTGATGATGAAAAGCAGATTTAACAGGATCTGAAAAGCAGATTTAAAAAGTTACTCTTTTTAAAAATATCTTTATTATATCCTCATACTTAAAAAATATTTTATTTACTTATTTTTAGAGAAAAAGGAAGGGAAGGAGAAAGAGAGGGAGAGAAACATCAATGTGTAGTTGCCTCTCACATGCACCCCCAATGGGGACCTGGCCTACAACCCAGGCATGTGCCATAGACTGGGAATCAAACCAGCAACCCTTTGTTTCACAGGCCCATGCTCAATCCACTGAGTTATGCCAGCCAAGGCAGGAAAATATACTTTAAACATAAAAACAGATCTAAACAAGTCTTCATTACAGCTGTCTAGACAATCTGACAGTGAAAAACCATTTAAAAATAAGTCATTCTAACAGAACACACTACCTCCAAGAAAGGATTCAAGCCAAATATAGAAAATAAATTCTAAGAGTTTACAGAAATGTATCAATGCATGGAGCCATGAAGAATAGTACCAAGGAAACATAAGCAGCAACTCCTGCTAACATAAGAACAGGTAGACAGGACAAGATGAGATACAGGTAGATGGTTTGAAGCAGTCAGGGAAAAATGTTTAAAAAAAAAATTTAAACAGGGATAATAGAAAAAAAAAAAGATCAACAACAGAAGAAAGAAGGCCAAAATAGAGCTGATTAGGGAGAAACAGCCTGGTGCATTTGACATAATTTCTAACAAGAATATGCAACAGGAAAAGGGTAGAAAAAGGCTGGAGCCTTGGAACTAGTAACCACCAGGATACAGGAAAAGGCAGTGCAAGAAATAAAATACCAAGTATCTGAGTGCACATGAAGCCCGAGGTCAGAAACCTGTCAGAGCTGGGGGGTGAAGGAGGGCTTGGAGACAAGGAACCATATGAAGGTAAAGACAGGCCCATTACACATCTAATGAAAAATATCAGAAACCACAAGGAATAGAAAAAGACAGGTGAAACCTAATTATAGGCAGAAAGGAAAGACCTGAGAGAACCTCAATGAATGCAGAGGTAAAGGAAACAGATGTTGACACGGATTTTAGAGGAGAAAGATGATTAAAGAAACTTGTGTTGTTCTGGTGGAAAAGCTACAAATACAACAAAAATAATTTCAGAAATTAAAAGGAAGAAAAACTAAATATATTGGTTCAAAAACCAATCTTGTCCCATGATAAAGGGTTTATTAAAAAATGGGACATAAAGAAGTACCTGGTATAGTGACTTAACTTCATGAATAATGAAAATTCTACAAGTAACCCAGCATGAATGTCAGTTACAAGGTGGGGAACACAGGCTTCCATCAGACTTCTACAGGGCAACACTCAATGCCAAAAGATACCTAAGTAAAAGTGCCAGATCTCAGGGATTTTCAGAGAAGTGTATTTCTCAGTGAAACCCAGACATGGAGTTGACAAAAGGTAAGAAGTAAAGGGCCAGTGGGCCCTTGGCTCCCTGTCTAGCGACAGCACCAGGACTACAGTGCTCTACAGAAATTGGGGTTCAAGAATTTTATACATGTGTTGTCCTTCAAATACAAAGACAGACTAGCACACACATTCTTTTTTTTAATTATTGTTTAGAGAGAGAGAGAGAGAGAAACATTGATTTGTTGTTCCACTTAACTTATGCCTTCACTGGGTGATTTCCATATGTGCCCTGACCGGGAATCGAATCCTCAACTTGGGTGTTATCAGAACGATCCTCTAACCAACTGAACTACTTACTGGGCCAGGGCTTAGCACACACTTTCTGAAGAATGACACCTATGAGCCCTCCTAGAAGCTATTACTTGATAGAATCTAGCTTCCAGAGAAGAATCCAAGAAAAGGATTTAGGTATAGTAAAGCTAAAATGTACATTGGTGCAAACACCAAAATCATTTAAACATAAAACTAAGGCTAAGTTGGTGGAGAATTCTTTTTTACTTGATAAAGTAAAAAATGATACTAAAATATTTGGAGAAGGACTAGGGTATAAATTTTTCTTTTATCCTCATGGATTCTGTGACTCCTGTAACTGATTACTTTTCCCTTTTAGACACCACGATTCAAAGTTTACAACAAGCACTGGCTGATGTGACTCAGTGGGTTGTGCACCAGCCTAAGAACCCAAAGGTCACTGGTTGATTCCCAGTCAGGGCACATGCCTGGGTTGCTGGCTAGGTCCCGCATTAGGGGCCTGTGAGAATCAACGAACGTTCCTCTTCTGTTATTCCCTCCTTTCCCCCATCCCTAAATAATAAAGCCTTTATTTTTTTAATTTACTTTATTTATTTTTAAAGATTTTATTTATTTATCTTTAGAGAGGAAGGGAAGGAGAGAGGGAGAGAAACATCAATGTATGGTTGCCTTTGGTGTGTCCCCTGCTGGGAACTGGCCTGCAGGGAACTGGCCTGCAACCCAGGCATGTGCCCTGACTGGGAATCGAACTGCAACTGTCTGGTTTGCAGGCCCGCGCTCAATCCACTGAGCTATACCAGCCAGGGCTCTAATAAAGCCTTTAAAAAACCGTTTACAACCAGCTTTATGAACCATTTTCAACAAGTATTTTATGTATTTATGACTTCGACTTTATTTATGCTACTTTACTCCTGAATTCTCCTACTCTTATTTTCTTTGACTAATTTTTCTCACTTATTTGAAACAGTATTTGAAATTCCTGAATTTTAAGCATCTTTACAACTTCAGTCATTTTTAGAACATAATATTTATTGATTCTGTGAAGAACTAGTAAGTGAAAAGTAGCTTTCAAAAAACTTATTCTTGCCCTGACAGTGGGGTGCAGTTGGTTGGGCATGCAGCCCACAAATTGAAAGGTTGCTGGTTCAATTCATTCTCAGGGCACATGCCTGGGTCGTATCGGTTTGTTCCTGGTCAGGATGCATAGGAAAGGCAACCCATCAATGTTTCTATCTCACATTGATGCTTCCCTCCCCCTCCCCACTTTCTAAAAGTAAACATATACAATCTTTAAAAAAATTTTCTTTGGTAAAAATTATATTACCGGTTTGAATTCTTTTTTTCTTTTTTTAATTCTTTACATATGACGTAATTACTCCTGAGCAATTCTCTACAATAACATAATTGAATTGAGATTTTAACTGAAGAACTATGGATTACTAAAATGTTCCCTAGAATACATTTTCAGCAGAAATGTCCATAAATCAAAGCAAAAATTAGCATGCCAATATAGAAACATAAAATGATCAAATAGTTTACCAATGAAGCACAGGGTCTCTTAAGATTTTGTTTAAATGGATAGGTAAATTACAGCTCACTTGCAAAAACAGACCTCTCTGGAAAAAGAAGGCTTTAAATTTCCTTATACTAAGGAGACAAATGTATACTATCAAAAAATGAAACATGACCCTGGCTAGTGTAGCTCAGTGGATTGAGCTCCGGCCTGTGAACTAGAACATCAAGGTTCAATTCCCAGCCAGGGCACATGCCTGGGTTGCAGGCCAGTTCCCAGCAGGGGATGCACGAGAGGCAACCATACATTGATATTTCTCTCCCTCTCTCCTTTCCCTCGAAAGATAATAAAAAATATTTTAAAAAAATGAAACATGGAGGGACTTCCAGACAAAATGGAGGCATAGGTAGAAACACTGTGCCTCCTCGCACAACCAAAAGAAGGACAACAAATTTAAAAACAACAATCAGAACTGACAGAATCGAACTGTATGAAGTTCGACAACAAAGCAGTTAAAGAAGAAACATTCATCCAGACGGGCCGAGACGGGCATCCGGGTAGAGAGAACTCGAAGCAAGGCAGCTGCTAAAGGACTGGGGTGGGCAAGGCGGCAGCTGGCAGACAGGGCAGTCCCATATTTGTGTGCAGATAAACCAGGAAGAACAACTAGGGAATGAGACAGACGGGGCAACCCAGGGTCCCAGCAGGGAAATAAAGCCTCAAAGCCTCTGACTGAAAACACCTGGGGATTTTCAGCAGGGGCTGAGGCAGCACCAGGAGAAAATCCCAACTTCACAGGAGAGTTACTTCGCTGGAGAGACCCAGGGGGTCCTAGAATGTACACAAGCCCACCCACCCACGAATGCGCACCAGAAGGGCCCAATTTGATTGTGGGCAGCAGGTGAAGTGACTAAAAACTGGCACAGAGCACAGCAAGCAGCACTGTTCCCTCTCAGACCCCTCCCCTACATACAATGTCACAACGTAGCCACATGTGTTGCGCTGCCCTGGTGATGCCTAAGGCTCCACCCCTTACTACATAAGAGGCAAGCTGTGACAAAAAAAAAAAAAAAAAAAAGAGGCCCAAATGAAAGAACAGTTCAAAGCACCAGAAAAAATACAACTGAGCAACAAAGATAGTCAACCCATCAGATGCACAGTTCAAAACACTGGTTTTCAGGATGCTTCAGGACAAACTGGGTACTTCAACAGCAAAAAAAAAAAAAAGACCCAGGCAGCAATGAAGGTTGCATTATGTGAAATAAATAAAAATCTACAGGGAACCAACAGTGATGGGAAGGAAACCAGGACTCAAATCTACCAT